ATTACATTTTTGATGTACTTTTGAGTTTCCTTGGGCTGTAATTACCTTACTGAAAAGGTTTAATAACTGTTATCCCTATGGTAGATAGAGTAGTCACTTAAATGTCTCAAAATAAGAAGTTTAAAATACTGGAAAAAACGAGAATTAAATTTTTTCTATTGCTGCAATGGAAACTTCTAAGGGTTACATTGTAAATTCCTAAATTGTACTTGAGGGTGGCACCACACTCTTAAGCAGACCATAACAACCTCCTGTGGTCCTATTATCCGGCAATTTACCGTCGGACATAAACAAGGTTGTTGTCTCCACAAAATCCATGGTAACGCGTTAGATTAGTATTCATCAGAAGTTTTGTATTAATCAAACAGTCTGTTGATATTATGTCTACTGGCCGCCCACAGGGTCTAAAAGTCACCGCAGAAATAATGATAAATGTTGACATCCACAGGTTTACCTGTGTGTGTACATGTGGTTCTACATGTGGTTGTAATAGTAGCGGCCTGGATAGGTATACAGCATACCATTGATAAAGGGCATGGGCGTCACCAGACCAATTTAAATTGGGGGGGGGGGGGATGGTGTGACAATGAATTTTCTACAGACCCTCAGACTGGAAGGTACTAGTAGCCACGAATCTGGTTTTCCCAGATTGCACGTTGACCTTTAATGAATTATTCATATTTTCTGGGGTTGGGAAAGAGATAAATTTACATGTAGGCCTATTCCACACATCGCTCGATCGCTTGATGACACGACGACGTGTGTATAGTTCGTGTACGTCACAAGCGTGCGCAATATCAAATGTCAAAGTGACACGTGCGCACAACCGTATGTCGTGATGATTGCAGTGGTGTTTTCAGGTCACAAAAGCTCGCCATATTAATTTTGTTTTTTTTGGGGGGGGGGAATGGACTCCATCTGACTAATGGGGGCGCTGTGAAATGCGGGCAGTAAAATTGGTCGACACTATTGGATATAATAGATGGGGCATTTTGTTGCAGCATATTAGCCGATGGACATGTTTTATTGACAAAAAGGAGTAATGGGGTTGGGGGAGGGGGTACATCCCCCACAGCCCCCTCACTCGGATGCCCGTTATGAATTTTGCCATCTACACGTACGGTAGCACTGAACTAAACTGGTTTTTAGTTGGTTACTTTTGAAAATCAATATTCATCTGGATCAACTGCAAGGGGTTAATGTTTTAGTATAAAGGTGTATTTCTTGAATTTTCATAAATCAGTGATTGTCAATTATAGATTTATTAATCACCAGAGAAATTTGTCCATTCATCAACAAGTAATTAAACTTACCGGTACATATGTAGTCCCTTTAATATTGAAATCCTAAAGTATAAATATGGTAGGGGTGAATTTTTCCTGTCATTGATCATTGTAATTTGATTGATTGTTTTTGTAGATTTGGAGAAAATAACTCCAAGTTGGTGGGTACGATTTATACTTAATTGGTTTTGACAAAAAAAATAACAAAAAAGTCCATATACCGGGTAGTGACGATATATGGCTATATTTGCCCATTTCTGAACACAATAACGACGTGGTGGCTAAGTCATGATTTGGGGGAATTCCATGAGTTTTATGAAGTTTATTTTTTGAGTGTTTTTCTGGGAGAAAATTTAAAAATTCCCCAATTTGCTGTTATTCCCAGAAAACTGCCTGTGTGAGCTAGCTACAAATTTGGATTTCCTGTGGATATTTATAGAGATTTTTTTTACAATAGTTTTCCAATCCGAGGGAGGATGTTTCCAGCTAACAAAGCAGCAGGGGCTTGTCCAGTAGCCATGGCGATTTGTCACGTTCAATTTGTCGTCCAGATTTGTCGCTTTCAATTTCAATCCATGCACTTGTGTGCTGTAGATTAGAATAAACTGCTTGGACATGTTGAAATCACCGTGCCCATGCAATCTATTCAGCGTACAACAAGAGTATACCATACATTTTGTATACATGTATATACAATCAAGCTTGAGTTGTTTGTCAACCACGGTCAAAATTTGGTTTGATACAGATTTGAAAAGAGCAAATCTCAGCATTACTGCTGTGAAAACCGCATCCTGATCCCATCTTTAGTTAAAAAAATTATGGAAGTCGGAACACCAAGAAATGTGATGAAGTGATGTGATGAAGTGGCCCTATTTTAGCCTGTATCTCCAAATGAATGTTCCCGACAAACGACTCATGTAGCTTGATTGCATCACATATGGTTGATATTATGACAGATCCAAGTAGGGGTGTGCGTTTACGGTTAGTACGAGAACCGGGTACCCGATTAAAAAAAAACATGAATACCCGGCACCCGTTAAAGAAACCCAATTCCAAAATTCAAATCTCGGAAGTTGCTGTTGAGATTGTTCATATAATGTCCACATGATAATACTAGCACATCAGTGCATCAACACAGAAGAGACAAGTGTGTAAAGTCAGCTTTATATTATAGCTGTGCGGTGTAAATTGTAACTTTCGTGAGTGCCACATTAACGCGAAAATGTTTTGTTTTCAAAACATTTTCGCGTTAATGTGGTTTATACTCAAGTATATATGTAGCCTGAAAATTCCCTACCAATGACATTCGAAATCTTTCTTTTTTGTTGTTTGAGAAGTTACTAGAAATTACAGTAAATCGTGACGTAATAAACAGGACTCCCGATGCACAGTAGCATACACGAGTCCTGTTTATTACGTCGCGATTTACTGTGTTTTGTTTGCTGCCCGCAACGACGACTTTTACACAGTTGCACGTTCGGGTCGAAACTGGACCTGAAAAACAACGTCAAAAGTACCCTTTGTACTCATTTCATGACAGAAACAATAGTCGTTTTTATTTCATCACACCTTAGGCTACATATACCCGAAAAATGACGGAAATGTCTTCGAGCATTCCACAACCTCTTTAAGCCAAAAGACATGTACTGGTACATTAAACTAGTGGTTCCCTACATGTACTTGGCACTTTTCCCATTGTCATAAACATTACAGTACACCAGATGTTTTCAAATGGTTTTTCACTGGATGAAAGTACATGTGTACAAAATAATAAAAAGTAGTAGCATTGAGTACGTACATGTACGGTCACCGGTTGGGTGCACTTTCCAACTCCAGTTTTCTTGCTGCAAAAATCTCTTGTAAAATGTACAATTTTAGAACTCATCCCCCTTCCCTCTTTTTGCATAGAAATTATATAAATACTACACCTTACAAGCAACATTTAAGATCTTTTAATTAAAAAACACAATCACCCCACAACTTAAATGTATGTCACCACCTCTTACAAAAAATATTCTCATTATTTTCTTGATGCGCATAATTCCTTTCTGCAAAGCCTCTCAAATTCACTGCTAATTTCTTCGGATGTGAAAATGGCTTCCCGATCACCCCAGGCCATAATTTTTTCCCCTGAATGGATCAAACGAAGTTGTTTACCTGCAGGTTGCAGCTAGTTACCCGCACAAACGATTTTTGCGGTCAGCTACTAAAGTTTGCCAGACTCTTGTCTGCTTTTGTTGCACAGTGGGTGGTTAGCCAGCTCATTCTGTTGTGGTCTGCTGAGGTCCTGCACTATCTAGCATTAGGTCAAGCAGAGAAAGTCAACCTTTATAGTGCCACAATGTTGAAATCTTATTCACCCAGGAATTTTTTTAATGATGGACTTTTTCGCCAGAAAATCTTGTTTTGACTTGGTGCACTTTGTAGCCCCAGATGCTTTGTTGCGTGGCCATACATAAATAATGTTATTGCCGACGTTTTGAAAGTTTATTCAATGACACTATAAAGTTGAACAGGGCTGAGAAACAGACACTTTTCAGCATGGAAAAAAGACAGGATCACTCTGTACTTAAACAAGTAAAACAGGGCCAATTTAGATATTACTGCACCCCTTTACAGGTTTTTTTTGCGTGAAATTCTTAAAAGTGAAAAGCTACAGACAGGAAAGATAATTTGGATTTGGGAAAAGTGTCCAGCTGGCTCACTTTATGAAAGACCAAAAAATAGTGGTGGGATTTAAATCAGGATTTTTATAATTCATTTTGAATTCTACTATTCGGTTTGGATTTTGGAAACCGGATGTTCGAAAGCAACCTTTGAAACATTCAGGCCTTTCCGTTTTTTGTAACATGAAGTCAAGAAAATAACTTGAACCTCCCCCAATTTGCTGCAATAGTCTTTGATTGTAACTGCATTCACTCAGTCGTCTTGGTTCATGAATAGCCTGCCCATTGGACTGATCAGAGAGTTCCCATCCCTGTTTTCAACATGACAGCTTTGGAGTGTTTTTGTATTAGGCCCAGTGGTCATTGAATCCCACAAATGATACCCAATCATTCAGAGGGCATTGCAGTTTGCATGCGGCACCTCACTTGTCACTTTTTGTTGGCATGACTGTGAGCTGAATGGGAGCTTCTGGTAAAATTGGACAACCGTTTATATTAGGTTTGAAAAAAAAATAGGATAACTGGATTTTGAAATCTCCTATTTCTCCCACGACTACCAAAACGCTCCAACTAGCATGTAGGCATGCTCCCAAAAAGGCAACTAGAAATCTTAGTCTTAATAGTGCATTAGTTTGAATACTGTGCATGTGATGTACATTTGAGGTACATGTACGTGTATGTTCAGAATGTCTTGGGTCTGAGTGCCAAAGTTCCTAAGGCTGGATTTGATTCATCTTGATGACCGCGCCCTCTACCGGCAAGGCGGCTTGACTGCGCTTCCCAGTATAGGAACTACCGTAGCTGTATCTAGGAAAACAAAACCCTAAATCCAGTCCTGTGCTAAGACTAAATTCTAGGCGAGTTGTTGGAAATTACAATGTATCATATTCAATTGAAAATCTCTGTATGTTTGATTTTGCTGTTTCTTTTTCTGTGCACAGGCGTGGTTGCCTTGCCAACGACCTCGGCCGTGACCTCCTCCGTGTCCACTTCCTCCCTCTCCTCCGTCTGCTCCAGGGGGAGTGAGCATAGTCGAGCTAAGAGCTGCCGGGGATGTGAGATCAAGACCAATGGTAGCTTGCAGGAGATCAGTAGGGCAGTTGAGCAGAGCCTGATAGCAACCTGCGTGGGGAGTATAGCCGAGCTAGGTAAGATGAAGTCAGGTTTGAAGCAATTTCAAACATTAATGTTGTAAAACCAGCAGGGGGAATAAAAGCCCACCCCTCCCCTGATTTTGCTTTGTACTCCTCTCTGAGCCCCACCCACCCACCCACCCAACCCCTCCCCTCTCCCACGACACATTTTCCCAATCCCCGTACCCTGCATTTAGTTCTGTAAACTTGGCAGTGTGGTAGTTGAGTCCATAAGGCCAAATAATAAAATTTAAAAAAATGTTATCCCATTAGTGTCATGACATGTGGATGTGAGTGTCATGTGATATGCATATGCTTTATGGTTGTCATGTGACATGTGATCATGAGTTTCACGGTAACATGAACTACTGCCATCGATTTTCCAGTAACGTACTAGGAAGTTTCTCAGGTGAACTTTTTGAAAAAGGAAAGATGCAGGCAATTGTTTTTTTTCTGGCCAATGATGGATACAAGATGGTGGATGGTCTTTTTTCAAAACATTCCCCGCTTTTGTGAGATTTTTCCAAGAGGGTGTATGATGTTTTACCTAAAATTGCAATCACTTTTTCACGACTAGCTTTTAACCATAAAATGGCTACTCATTCATGTTGGAAACAAATATTAATACACAAGATATTTCTGATGGTGAAAATATTAGAAAATACGGCAGATTTTGCCGTTATAAAAGTAAAATTAAGAGAAATAAAATAAAGCTGGAAAAAAGGGTGCGCCAGGCAGGGATGATCAACTGATACATTTTGTTTTATTTGGCGTTAAAAGACCATCACAGTCAGCTGTCATATGGACAATTTTAGAAGCATGTTTGAAGAAACATGGTAAAATTTGCCTTGGCATAAAAAGCAAAAAAAAACATTGAAAAAAAATTGCATGTATTGGAACACAAAAATGGTATTTCTCTTTCCAGTTTCTGTTGCTAGGACACTTAAAGTTCAGACCGAATCCATTCTAGAGAAAAATATGCTGCATTTGGGGTTATGTGGTTTGATACATGGACATTGACTAATGTTCCACTTTTTTGGACAGCCAACACTACCAATGCGTAGGTGTGTATGTCATATCAAATTACTCGAGGGGTATAGGTGCCCCAGGAATCGTGGGAAATGTTGTGGATATCCCATTATAGTGTCATATGACATGTGAATGTGGGTGTCATGTGACATAACTTATGTGTGACATGTGATCCTGAGTGTCTTGGTAACATGACTTGGCAACATATTGCGATCGATTTTCCAGAAGTAACCAGGCACTGAGATCATTTTTTTTTCTGTTTACAAAGGAAGTTTATATTAAAAGGAAGTGCAGTTTGAATGCACTGGGGATCAACTTTGTTGGTAAAGTGTGAAGAGAATTCCTATAATGTTTTTATTGGGGTTTTCAAAACAGCTTGTTCGACTGGTCCTTATCTCCCTTACCAATTCCAATTAGGAATTGAAAATGTTATAAAACTTTAATTTTTGGTACCTTTAAGAATTTGCCCATTAAAAGCAAATCAAGCAGGTAGTAAAACTTTCACAAACTGGAAGAATTCATCATGAGTATCAGTAGGCCTATGTGTAAGCCTACATGTATGCATGGGCCCAGGCAGGGGAACTTTTCTTACGACTACGCATGGGCCTAGGCAGGGGAACTTTTCATACGATGAGAAAATTCATACCAAATTGTGGAGAATGTTGACAATCCCCACAATATTTTGTTTGTCCCTGTAATCTGGAGTCCGGTCCCCAAATGCTTGCGTCCCTAACTTGGTTGAAATTTGTCCTTTGTCACAGGTGACCTCGTATGTCGAGCCATGCATTACCAGCAGGGCCGTCAGAAGATTCCCAGCAACTTGAATGGCAGGCAGAGCACGACCTGGTCCCCCAGCGCCCTGCACACCCTGTACTACTACATGCGATGCAGTCAGCTGGAGTACAGCGACAATCCTAACACAGATCCCCCTGTCATTCAACTCAACCCAGAAAGGTAGACAAGGGTTTCTTTTCTACCGCCTGACACTTTCCCAGTTGTCAATTATTAGCTAAAGATGCTCTGTCCATGAGCATCTTCAGCTAGAGGGGTGTGTAACATTCCCAACCCCCCCCCCCCCTTAATAGGTTTGTTGGCGAAATCTTGTGTCCATCGGCAAATGTGCCAGGAGGAAGAGTGCAACCTATTGTCCGACAATGCCCATAATTGTCCGCTTTTTCCCTTTTCCCCAATTTTACGGAGGCCTGGTGACAGGGGAAAATATAAACCTGTACCTTTTAGCATAGATGGTCTGTCGGTAAGTTTTCTAACAATTCAAAAGTCATTCAGTTTGGAAAAAGACATTGAACAAAACAGTCGGCCCACGTTTAGTTCACCTAAAATGACGTTGTAAGCTACACAATTTGTCTGTTGTGCAAGTCACAGTCTTTCGTAACACTCCTAAAAATGGTTGTACATGTACCGTTCATTTAACCTGTCATTTCAATGCCTTACCACTCATCAAATGTGCACCAAGCTTCCAATCTCAGCTATAAAACTATTGTTTTTTTTAAACCCTGATATTACGTGTTCAACGGCGGATCGAGGGGGGGGCCAAAGGGGGCCATGGCCCCCCCCCCCAAACGAAACCCTTTTTTTTTATGTAACGTTGCAATAAAGGCAGGCAATGAGTACACCACCATCTTTTCCTCATAAAAACATTGGTTAAAATGGTCAGAAATTGCCTCAGATCGCACCACAGATCATCTAGAATCGAAAAAATTTTGGGCCCCCCCCCCCAATTGTGTTCTGGATCCGCCCTTGCACATGTTTATCCTGTTGAATTGGTTTTGCTTTGGTTTGTTTCAGGCCGTACGTTGTGCTCCCGCCGCTGATGCAATGGATCCGAGTGGCTACGGCTCACTGTGAGCACAGACTGAGCAGCATAGTGGACAGCGACGACGTCAGACAAGCGGCTAGGCTGTTACTGCCGGGCATCGACTGCCCTGTCAGACCGCTCAGGTAGATATCTGATTTGGGTTTCATTGCATCAAATAGACGGGATAAGTTGTATTGGTTATTTGTTGCAGTAGATCGGCCCTGAATTCTTCCTGTGACGAAGTTGTCAGCCATAGGCGCCTTTACGTGCCAGCGGCTCGACCACGTTGTAGCCGCGTCCTTCGCAATTTAGCATACCAGCTGCGAGTAAGGATGATTAGCCTCACAAATTATTATTGTTATTATTATTATTATTTAAAAATGAATCGAATATTCCGTAAAAAGTAGCCACAGGGTATGTCCAACATCGGAAATGCAAAACAACAACTTGCCGGGATAGTTGCCCCCCTCAGCAGGTGTTAATTCCCCGCAGCCTGATCACAAGGTGTGAAAACTAGCGGCTTCTTCTGTCCCCCTGTTTCCCTATAACCTCACGTATCAACACCCTGCTATCGTCAATGCAACCAACGCATGCCAGAGTAGATTCGGACAATGTCAAAAATCAACAATCGCCAGCCGTCCCTTTCAGCCCAGCCCCACCACACTACGATCTGTAATGAGGTGTAAGATGTATGTATATATATGACTAGGCTCGGGCAGTTCTTTGTGGTTTCCTCTTCAGTGACGTTTTTAATAAACGCTGTGTGGTCAGAGGGCTTGCAAGAAAAGCTTGTACAGGCTGACTTGGGTGAGACTCGAACACACGACCTCCTGCTTACTAGTGTAGACGTCTTACCACTCAACTACAGAGCTTGCCAGGGTCGGCTGGCTTGTTTGAATCTGAATACTGTAGCAGCAGGTATACCGCAACAAAACAGGTTACTCCCCAGCTGATGCTGGTACCGTACCCATTTATACTCTTGGGTAGAGAGAGGCAAGTGGGGATCAAGTGGCTTGCACAAGGACACAACATATGGCCTAGATTCAAACCCATGACCCTCTGACCATGAGTCATGAATCCTAAACCGCTAGGCCACACTCCCCAACACAGGGTTCGACCTTAGTGGTATCCCGCTAGCCAAATGCTAGTCAAAACTGCGGCGGGCTAGTCAAACTATTCCTTAAGTAGCCCGGCTGGCGAGTCAAAAACTATTGGCTACTGCAAAGGTGAAAGGATAGGAAGAAATAAATCATTAAATTCAGAAAGCAAACCAGTATCAATTTGTGTCTAATTTTATTAACTGTTTAGGGATAAATTATTAGATGTGTTTATTAAAAACACTGAAAAGATTGCCTCAGGATTCACGTTTCACATGTACACACATTGTTGTTCATGAGACACTCTGTTAAAGAAAAACATTCGGGCTAGTGAAAATGCCCGCAGGCTAGTTAAGGGTCTGTTTCAGGAGCCCGCTGGCTAGTAAAAAAAAAAGTTAAGGTTGAACCCTGCAACAGCGAGTCTAGGTAAAGCAAGTTGAATTCACAAGTGTCGGGTCAGTCAGGTACAATGAGGACTGCAGGCTGGCTTTCTGGGACCAGCAAAAGAAACTCCTTCCACGCAGTAAAGAAAAAAAAAATGTTCTTCTTTTCCTTATCTGTTAAAGCCCGAGTCCATCATTTGCAGCTATCCAAAAAGTAACTGGCGTAATTATTGTTAAAAAACATACCTGGTTGAAAGATAGTAAGGGGACTAAACTCCCTGTGAAATTATTCTTTCTAGCAAGCTGTCTTTTTGAAGAAATCAACGAAAGAAGGCCTTTCCAACGGTGCGTTTTAAGAAGCACCGTTGGAAATTTCTGTTAGTAGTTCGTTTTTTTATTCGGCGAAGCGCGCGCAAGCGTTGGCACGATGCACACGCGCGCAGTTGCTACAATTTGTCTGATCGATGCGCAACATCGCGTAGCTGCAATTCAAAACATGATTCAGCAACTTTTGATTTGAAATCGAGATCTTAGAATGTTGTTTTTCTCGAAATGTACATCTGAAGCTGAGCTGAAACTTCATCACGTTAGTTGTTCAGCACCCTGCTTTAGATTTTGAGCACTTTTGTTGCTTCAAACGGACAAAATGCACAAATTACAAATGATGGTCTATACCTTTAAGGTAAAAATAAAAGTACCAAATAGCCCAGCTAGAGTAAGCTTCATGGCACGTACATCTCAACACCTCCGTATTATACCACTGCCCGAAAGCCATGCAAGACTGCACCTCCACAATGTGTCACATCTGAACAATCCCCTGACCAGCGATGCGCGCGTTGATTACGGGCAATTAAGTGTGAAGCGATACCGCGCAGATGACACCCATCCACTCACGCCTGCCATGGTCATTGGGTGGGTGGCTGTAGTAAGCTCTGCAGCGGCGCCCAATTGCACCTGGCTTCTCTTTAGAGGCGGGCCCATTTAGCCGCCTCTTTCTATCAAAGGGCGACCTTTGCACTTTGAAATATCGAATGAAATCCAGACGAGTGGTTGTATATATGTGGCCTGTTCTATCAAAATCAGACTTCTCTGGGCATAAGGTCGAAAATGATATTTTTACATATTGTTAACATATCTTCTTTTTCCTTTTAATAGGTGGTTTAATTTTGAAACCGGTCATTCCTGGGCAGAGTTATGCTATTTTGAAGTGCATTCAAAAGTAGAAAACGGAGAAAATGGCCACGAACGTCACAAAACAGTTATTTTTTTTAACTGATATACCTTATCAAAATCATCAAAAATAGTATATGTAGAGTTCAAATTAGGGTTTCAGACTTTTATAATATATTTTAGACATGTTCAGGATTACAAATATGCAAAAATTTGAAAATCGATAAAAATCACCCCACAGCGTTTTTTGGCCCTATCTCAATTTCAACCTCTGCCCAGAAGCGTCTGCTTTTGACAGAACAGGTCACATATGTGTGTAATCAATCCTTTATACGTGTGAGCAAGGCGCTTGAAACAAGTAGCAAAGCCTTTGTTGTTTTTAAGATAATAGGTGTCATCATTTCTTGTCGCGTTTATCATATTTTGTATTAAAAAATACTATTGCAGGGTACATTGTATTGTCCATTTTTAACATCAATGGTGGTTTAAGAAAACCAAATCCCTAGACCTTGAATCTTGACATTGATATTGAAGTTGCTGTTTTTAAGATAATAGGTGTCATCATTTCTTGTCGCGTTTATCATATTTAATATTAAAAATACTATTAAAGGGTACAATGTATTGTCCATTTCTAACATCAATGGTGGTTTAAGAAAATCAAATTTTCCCAGACCTTGAATCTTGACATTGATATTGAAGTTGTGGAACAGATAACATGAAAATTGACATGAACATACCCTGGTAGTAATTCTTTTAACTGTTTTAGCAGAATCAAACAAAGCATTTTAATTTGAAGTTAAGAACTTTAATATTCGACACTTCCATCTGTTAATAAGTGCATTTTCCTACACACGGTCAGTGCAAATGAAAAGATTTTTCAGTTGCCCCACAATGTCCAGCTTTTTTTATGAAATTGGTATGAAAACATCTTAAAATTGCATTCCCCCTGATATTTGAACAATTTTGTATTTGTAAAATTTTTATTTCTTATTCCAACCACAAGGACATACGCCATGCGAGCAGATTGGCTCCCGATCCGTACAATATCAATACTGATTGTGGGGCAGGAACCAGCCTACGCCACAAGAGAATTATTGTCTGGCAGCCAATAATTCGAATCTGTTCAGTAATAATTCAATAACCAAACATGGGATGATTTTTTTTTGTCCGTGGGTGTCTGATAACTTTTATATTGCTAGAAAAATAGCAATGATAGAAAAGAAATATATTTTTCGAGATGAGATTCGAAATAGCATGGGAAATGCATCTTTAAGCCATTGTACATAATCGCCAAGGGTTGGTACAAGGAAAAAAATGTGATTTAAAAAAAACATGTATTCCCCCCCCCCCCTCCCTGTTTCTTTTAGGATCAACATATGTGTACAATTACTGGAACGAGGTTATGATGAAGGCCATCTACTGTTCTTGCACAGAATGCAAAGTCAAATTCTTTAAAGTCGCTTTAAAGTCTTTTCATTGATTACTTTCTGTCTCCTTAGTACGGATGAGGTGGTGTGTACCTCCCGCCATCTCAACGCCCAGCAGTCAGCGCTGAGATTCCAGCAGGACCTAGGCTTCAGGATGCTGGCGTGCGGCAGGGCTGACCTGGTCTCTGAAGCTGTCTCGCTTCTGGGCAACGACGGAATCAACACAGTCAGCGAACAGGTTAGTGAAAGCGCCAAAACCTTCACAATTCCACATAAACTTGTTTCGATTTACTGGTATTAGGCCCCTACTTCTTAGCTCTCGGTCAGACAATTATCAGATGATGCATAAATATGTAAAGTGCCATGGAAAAACAAGACTGCTCTCGGAAACAGTTAATTGAATTTCAGCCTGACAGGAGGGAGTCATATTGTCACAATTTAACGCCCTTGTCCTTCTTGATATAAAGTTTAATAGCTTTTCTGGGAATCGATGCTAAGTCTATTTTGATTGAATACATTTCAGTCTTATCCATCTTGTCCGTGATTCACTCAGATGGTAGTGAATTTTCCTTCTTGGAGAGAAGAGAGAATGTTCTAACTATTAGTTTGACCGTGGAGCTTGGTCCTGGTTATAACCCGTGTATTGTTTTTCCGTCAACTCAGGGTCTCTCTCCACTCATGTTTGCCTGCTCAAGAGGCGACGAAGCCATGGTGCAGATACTGATCAAGAATGGAGCTGACGTAGACCAAGCTGTAAGTATAAGAAGTTGGTCTGTTTGTCTGTCTGTTTTTTCTGTTGTCTTTCTCCTTTGATGATGCAAAAGATACTGTTAGTCTTAAGCATTGGTTTGTTGTGTTGGGGTGTTTCTTTTTTTGTTGTGTTTGTTTGTCTTTTTCCTGTGATGATGTTCTGGTATGCTGATTAAGAACTTGGAGCAGATGTGGACCACGGCAATGGTTCTGAGGAAATTTGTCAGTTTGTTTGTTTGTCTGTCTATCTGTCTTTCTCCTGTTATGTCCATAACTGAACTCTGCTTTATTCTCCTAATGCAGCCAGTCACTGACGAACGCAGGCAGTAGAGGGCGCTGTCAACAAGATTAGTCAAATGTAGACTGGAACATTGGCCAAGGGCTGATCCGGGGGGGGGGGGGGGGGGGGGGGGGGGTGGTAACGGGAGCCATGCCCCCTACCCCCCAAAGGAAACCGATTAAGATTTTGCATACACCACCATCTTTTCCTACAAAAAAAAATTCTCTGAGTGGTCGGAAATTGCCTCGGATCGCACCACAGAGCATCTAGAATCAAAACAAATTTTGTTGCCCTTAAGCGGGGCACGAATCCTTCGCTGGAATTTTGGGACCCACTTTTTGGGGCACCAACAAATTGTGTTCTGGATCCGCCCTTGATGTTGAATTTCTGAGTATACCACGTACACGTGAATTAGCTTGAATATGAGATATGTCAAAATTGCTTGGGTCCAAGTGCCAAAGTTCCCAAGACCGGATTGGATTGATCTTGTTTATAATACCCTCTACCACCGCAAAAGGTGCACTCTGCCGTCCCCCACCCCAGCCCAATTTTTAGACATCAATTGGACTATCACCCACCAACCCCTTTCTTCCATTTACAGGTACCCAGTTCGCACACCAGTCGTCCCTGTATACACCCGGCAATCAGACATTGGACAGCTCTCTCCTTTGCTGTTGTCAACGGAAACGTGTCTGTAGTTCAGGTAAAATACTCAATGTAATTGTATTACAGAAAAAGTGCAAACATGTGCACAATTTTGTGACATTTAATAATTTCATCAAAGGGAATATACATCATTTGCTTTTGCTGTAATTTTCAGAAATGGATGAAAACTGGGGGGTTGGAAATATATAGCAAATGTAGTTACACTGACTTTTTTGAGGTTTTGGGTTCGAAAATGCTATAAATACCAAGAAAAACAATCATTTTCCTGTAGTCTGGTTCCCTGACTCCATATAAGATGAAACAGAGCAGTCTACATACATTGGGGAATTGTAAGGTCAGGGAACCAGTCTAGCTGGCTTGTACCCATTCATAGGTGTGTAATCGATTGCAAACAAGTGCGATGGTCAATTGGGGCCAGTTTTTGAAAAAAAGCCAGTTTTTTCCAATGCTGGTCAGCCGACCAGCGTTGGAAATTGATACAAAAAATACCACTTTTCTTGAAAATGACAGTATACCAGGTGCCATGATTTTACAGGATGCTTTACACTGTCATTCACTAACAGTCCAGCAAGGTATTTCAAAAAGATTTGGTAGTTTTATTTTTTGATGTTTGCAAATGTTGTATTTTCCCTTTAAAAGGGCAGGATTCATTAGAAGTTCTAGCAACATATGTTGTGCCGGATGTTTAATGCGCATAAATATAGAAGTGCCCTCAACTACATTTTGACTTCCCAAATAATTCTTATGGAATAGAGGACCGGCATGGAGTGTGATTATTCCTAATTACCGTAATTTGAATTGGATGATTGTTTTTTTTTTCCAGCTGTTGTTGAATGCCGGCGCCAGCGTGCACGGTTCAGTGGACACCAGTGGTGATAACTACACAGAGACGCCATTGCAGTTGGCTTCAGCAGCTGGTAAGGTTTAGAAATAATATTTGTTGGAAATAAATCTGTTTCCAAAATCTGGGCTTAAACCTAGTCTTGATGGTCAGCTGTTGATTCATTGAAATGTAGAGTTTGTATTGTAAAGTCTGAATTTTGTTAATTTTTCCCCATGGCTGCTCAAAAATGTAATTGATTAATTTATTATACATATGTGCAAACTTTACGTGACCTAGCACCCTAGCCAGTAAAAGCTATTGATACTTTGGATTGGCGGCAAAAGGGGAAAACCAAAATGCAAAAAAACGAGATAACCACTACACCAATTTAGTTGACCTTGTTTGGGTATTTTCATCAGATTAATCATTATTCATCAAGTCAATCACAAGTCAATTACAAGTCAATCGCAATTCCATCTCATGTCAATCACAAATCCATCACAAGTCCATCTCATGTCAATCACAAATCCATCACAAGCCCATCCCAAGTCAGTTACGAGTCACTCTCAAGTCAATCATCAGTTAATCATAAGTCCATCACAAGTCTATCACAAGTCCATTACAAGTCTATCATCCAACAATCACAAGTCCATCACAAGTCAATCACATGCCCATAACATGTCGCTCACAAGTCCATCACAAATCCATCACAGGCCCATCACAAGTCAATTACAAGTCACTCTCAAGTCAATCACAAGTCAATCATAAGTCAATCAGTCAATAAGTAAATCATAAGTCAATCACAAGTCAATCAAAAGCAATCAGTCAATCACAAGTCAATCATAAACCAATCACAAGTCAATCCTCAGTCCGTAACAAGTCCATCAAAAAGCCTGTCACAAATCAACTCACAAGTCACTCACAGCATAATCAAGTCACAAGTCAGCTCACAATAAACAGTGCATGAACAAGTACAAAACATTTTGCACATTTAATTTGAATAGCTTGACACCTGACTAGAGAATTCGTCACCCTTTTCACGAAGAGCCACATGTCAAAAATTACCATTTTTCCGATTTTGATTTTTTTTCTCAATATTTTGCTTTAAAACAATGTACTTAACCATTTTGACATGTTTCTGTAAGCAAAACATCATTAATTTCCAAGTTACATTAATGTTGCAAGGGGCAGAAATCTCGATAAATGCATTTTGCGTTTTCACGAAGAGCCACATACATTTTGGCCCTTTGAACGCGTACAAAACCCATTGCACGGAAGTACGTAAAAGTAGGTCAAACAAGATTTCCGTTTACACGAAGAGCCACATATCTTTGTTACATTTTCAGCTGCGCGCGCGTACTCACGCGCGCCTATGGAAATACACGTTGAACAGAAAGGGCCAATATGTCGGAAACCTGAATTTGCATTTTCACGAAGAGCCACATATCTTTACTAATTAATTTTCACCAATTAACTGCTGTATTAAGTCTTATTACTGGGTTCATGTAAAAATTCAGCTCACACAGAATAGTGTGATAGTTTCCTTGCTTCACAAAGTTGTTGTAAAGTGGTATTTTATGCAGTTTCAAAATATTAGAAACTTCTTTTGCGATTATCTCGAAAACACTTTTTCTTCAAAATCCACATATGTGGCTCTTCGTGAAAACGGTTACGAATTGATGACTTGCAAGCGAGTTTTGATCGACAACTTACGCCTTGTGATTGCTCTTATATCCCTAATTTCGCGTTTCTTTTTTTGTTGTAGGGCACTATGAGATGGTCGCTCTGCTTCTGTCTAAGGGAGCGGATCCGCACCTCACCACGGTCCACAAGAACGGAATAACCACCAAAGGCCACGACAACTCATTCGCCTTAGCTGCAGCTCACGGTCACAGGTATAAAGTCAATCTTTATATATCACTGACTCTTTTCAGAAAGACCTAAGGGAGGACACATACTGGTTGGAGTGTTGGAATGGTGTAGAGTGCATGTTTCAAACACTGATCTCTATCAAGACTGGATAGCGTATGCCCATACACCATACATTTTACTTATTTTCGCTTTTTGACCAGTTCGATTTCGCCCCAGTCTTCCAAAAATGGCCGCCAATATACGAATATTCTGCGTGCACACACAGACTAGAGTCCATCACAAGTCGCAATTTCAGTGACTCAGACTCGACTCGCCACAATGGTAAAAGGCTGGGACTTGACCTTCATGACTCAAATTTGATGCAAATGGTTCATGACTCGCAAGTCACATATTTTTTTTCACCAACAAAATGATCTTTTAAACAAGACAAGTCAATTTTCCCCCCCCCCAAATGTAACGTTAAAGCAGTGGTAAGGAACGTGAGCATATGAACCATGCCGCAGCTCTCCGGGTGGTGTTGCAAATAATAAAGTTTCTTATTAAAAATGTGCCCTGTGTCAGCACCTCACTTACATATCACTATAAACATGTATGTGTGTCCATGTCCATGCACATCCATTTTGTACAAATGTGACTCGGACTCGGACTTGAATCAAATGACTCATGGCTCGAAAGTGAACTCCAAGCAGATGACTGGAGACTCGGACTCAGACTCAACCAAAGTGACTAAGACTTAGACTCATACTTAACTCATCACAAACACGGCTACTGCAAAGTGTTTCCGCTTATTTCAAAATATGGAGGAGTAACAAGTGTGTCATGCATGTTTGTGTGTCATTGTTTCTGCCCACAGAAATGTCTTGAGGAAGCTCTTAGAACAGCCACGCTGCGTCAAGTCCACAGACATCTTGTCGCTGGAGGAGATGTTGGCCGAAGGCACAGAGCAAGAACCGCTCGCTCCAAAAGTACCCAAGCTGAAGAGAATGGGCAGCAAGAGCAAGATTACGCTATCCCTGCAGGTAAGGAGAGCCTCATCATTGGGTGTCTATAGGGTAGGGATGGGTGAGGGTACCCAGTGACAAGAGGGTTAAAAGGGTACATTGGTGAGACTGGAGGAGGCTGTGTCACCCAGAGGTACTTGTACCCAAGCTGAAGAGAGTGGGCAGCAAGAGCAAGATAATGCTATCCCTGCAGGTAAGGAGAGCCTCGTCATTGGGTCTCTATAGGGTAGGGATGGGACACCCAGTCAGAGGGTACCCAGTGAAGAGAGGGTTAAAAGGGTACATGGGTGAGACTGGAGGAGGCTGTGTCACCCAGAGGTACCTGTACCCGAGCTGAAGAGAATGGGCAGCAAGAGCAAGATTACGCTATCCCTGCAGGTAAGGAGAGCCTCATCATTGGGTGTCTGTGGGAGGGGAACCCAGGGGAAGGGGCACCTAGTGAGAGGGTACTCAGTGAAGAGAGGTTGAGTTGGGTACATGGGTGTGATTGCAGGAGGCTGTGTCACCCAGAGGTACTTGTACCCAAGCTGAAGAGAATGGGAAGCAAGAGCAAGATTACGCTATCCCTGCAGGTAAGGATAGCCTCATCATTGGGTGTCTATAGGGTAGGGGAACCCAGGGGAAGGGGCACCTAGTGAGAGGGTGCTCAGTGTTGAGAGGGTTAAAAGGGTACATGGGTGAGACTGGAGGAGGCTGTGTCACCCAGAGCTACATGTACCCAAACTGAAGAGAATGGGAAGCAATATGAGAGCCTCATAATTGAAGAACTCATGGAAGGGGAACCCAGGGAAGAGGCACCCAGTGAGAGGGTACCCAGTGAAGAGAGGGTTGAGTTGGGTACATGGGTGTGACTGCAGGCAGCTCTGTCACCCAAAGGTATACAAGCTGAAGAGAATGGTGAATGATTCTTGGCCTAATACTCCAACACTGAGCTTGCTGGCCGGCTCGTTCAGATCCTGACGTAGCAGTGGGTACCACAACCAATCAATACATGAGATTGGTTGACGTAAATTGTATCACTGGAAATAATTTCATAAGTGGATGTGAAATAATTTCATGGAGCAAAAACCAATGTTGAATTTACATCTCCCCGACACAAAATTCCATCATACAAATATAAATACTGATTGTTTGCGGTACCCACTACCTGTTGATATATCAGTCAATCTCCGGCATGAGCAAGGGCAGATCTAGAGAGGTTACTGGGGGGGGGGAGCCTCTCACAAGTGAAAAATGGCCTAATCTAAGAAAACTTTGGTCACTGCCGTGGGGGGGGGGGGGGGGGGGCTCAGCCCCCCCTGCATCTACCACTGGTCAAGTGGTAAGACGTCTGCACCAGTGAGCAGGAGGTCAAGGGTATAGAGTCCCACCTGAGTAAGCTTGTAAAGTTTTTCTCGCAAGCCATCGGACAACACAAGTGTACGGTGTGACATCAACAGTAGCCAATATTAAATTTACAAAGCTGTCTCTTCACTAAGCATTGCCTTTTGACTTTCCAGGAAGCAATGTACCACAGCTGTGAGCACGGCTACCTGGACATCTCCATGGAGCTGCGCAGCCTGGGCGTCCCATGGACCTTACACTGCTGGACCGAGTCCCTGGCCACCGCCAAGCAGCTGCACCGGCTTGCCGTCATCCAGTGCCTGCTTAGGGACTTTGGATCCATCAAACTGGACGAGTACAATGAGGAGTTTGTGGAGGAAGGGCTGACGCTCATGTTTGACATCCTGAGACAGTGCCGGGTGAGCTTCCAGAAAAATTTGTCGTTTGTAATTTTGTTGCCAGTAAAGTATGAAAGTCTGTCTCGAGCCAAAATGGCTTATTAGGCCACTGTTTGCCTCCGGTTTCCTTGCCATGAAACAGCTTAGAATATTTATTTTTTAGGTGACAGAGGAAATTTAGGTAAAGTGGCTTGCCCAGGGACTTAACAGAGGCCCATACCCGGCCTGGTATGGGGAGTGGAACATTTTTATGAAAAAGTGGACCTTTTCTTATATCAGTAAAATGGGACCTTTCTCGTGAAAACATTGGATGATCGATCTCACAACTGCTTGAAATTTAAACATGTGTAGGTGGCAAGAATTTGAATTATGGGCCACTTAAAGCCCGGTTCATACTCGGCACGAAAGCGAACGTGAATTTGTGACGTCGTGGCAAGTATTGGCGCTGCGAATTCGTAAAAGTTGAACATATTTCAACTTGGGCGAATTTCGCAGCGACTGTTTCATGATGTCCAATTCCCTTCGCATTCGCATTCGCATGAAGTATGAACCGGGCTTAAAGCAGTAGAAATTTTATTTTGTCAAGTATTATGATTAATATGGACAGCTTAAAAGTGGGCCCATGTTGAATTCGGGGTGGATTTCTTTTACCTTTACTTCACTCTTATTAAACCTCAGCAAAAGATGAATATCTTGTGAAATGATCCATTAATGTTTCTTGTAACATCCCTTTGCTGCATGGATTCTAGTATGTTCATCCATCCTACTCACGGACCATGCAGACCTTAAAACGAGCAAAGCGAATGGTGATTTAGATGTCATGTTGAATACATGTTGCATGCTGTCAGATTAAAAATACCACCATTGGAACACCCTTCGTGATTGTACCTGTACACGGTGCATGGTGTGGGTTTAAAAATCAAGTGGTTTTCCTCGGTCAAATATAAATTGTGTATAGTTCTTTCTCTTAAAGGTATAGTCCATCATTTGTAATTTGTGCATTTTGTTTGTTTGAAGCCACAAACGTGCTCAAAATCTAAAGAAGGGTATTGAACAACTAACCTGATGAAGTTTCAGCTCAGCTTCTGCTGTATATTCCGAGAAAAACAGCATTCTAGGATCTCGATTTCAAATCAAAAGTTGCTGATCGAATCATGTTTTGAATTGGGCCTGAATTCAGCGTCCGAGACACGTTCTCAATGAGCCAATTGCAGCTACACGATGTCGCGCACTGATCCGACGAATTATAGCAACCACGTGTGCGTCGTGCCAATGCTTACGCGCGCTTCGCCGCAAAACAAAACGAACTACTAATTTAAATTTCCTACGGTGCGTCTTAAGAAGCACCGTTGGAAAGGCCTTCTTTTGTTGATTTCTTCAAAATGACAGCTTTCAGGAAACAATAATTTCACAGAGAGTTTAGTCCCCTTATTATCTCTCAACCAAGTATGTTTTTCAACAAGAATTACGCCAGTAACTTTTTGGATAGCTGCAAATGATGGACTCCGGCTTTAAGAAATGAAATGCAGGCATGCCTATTTTCCATTGTCGCAACTGCATGGGTGATGCCCTCCCCCACCATCTACCTCTTATCCCTAGCCCCGCCCCCTTCTGCCTGCCCACCTTTGCATGCATGTGGTATCAGTTGTGTCAATGATCACCTGTGTGAACAAGTACAGTATCAGTTGGTGTGTTGGCTTTTCAAATATTTTTGAATTTTAAAAGGATGCTCGTTGCTCGTTGGAAGCATTCTAAGTAACACTGTTTGATAATAACTTTTTTTCTGTGTTTGTTTTTCTCTGTTGTTTTGTCAACAGAATGATGTGATATGTCAGCAGCTGGCCAGCATATTTGCCTCGTTGTTCGGCGACGGTCCCATACCAGCCCTGCGAGTGGAAGGACTGCCCCCTGTAGCTAGAATAGGTAGAGTATTAAGTAGCAAGCTTGTCTTTTCTGTTGTGGACTCCATGAACACTTTCTCTGTTGTGACAATGAGGGAGTTATGCAGACTCCTTTATATGCTAACTCATGTGTGGATGCAATGGATTGGTGCCAGTATCGTAGTCCATCACAAGTCAATCACAAGTCAATCTCAAATCAACCGCAAGTCCATCATAAATCCATCACAAGTCAATCACAAGTCAATCACAAGTCAATCGCAAGTCAATCACAAGCCCATCACAAATCCATCACAAGTTGATCACAAGTTCATCACAAGTCCTCGCAAGTCAATCACAAGGCCATCGCAAGTCCATCACAAGTCCTCGCAAATGAATCACCAGTCAATCACAAGGCCATCGCAAGTCCATCACAAGTCCATCACAAGTTCATCCCCTGTTTACAGGACTTTTGAAAGGACTTTTGATTGACCATGACAGGACTTGTGATGCCCGAACTGGTTCACGTACACGTTTTTATTTCAACAAAAAAAGGAAACTTTGTTTCACTATTTGTGACATGAAAAATGTAAATTCAGTGTTGGGTTTTGCCCTTCACCAACACAAGTTCATAAAAGAATGCTGAATACTCAATGTTCTCCAAGGGCATGCGAGAACAAATATTTCACATGCCGACTCGGGTGGGACTCGAACCCACGACCTCCTGCTTAAGTGCAGACGTCTTACCACTCCACCACAGAGCTTGCTGGGTTCGGCTGGCTGGCTCAGATCTGATACAGCAGTGGGTACCAGCATAACATGGAATTTTGCGACAGGGTGGTGTAATTCTATATTGGGGTTTGACTTTCACCGACCAATCTTATCAACACTATACTCAGTGTTGTCCCGAGTGTTTGTGAGAAACAATTCACAAACTACTTGCGTGGGACTCGAACCAATGACCTCTTGCTTACTGGTGCAGACGTCTTACCACTCGACAACAGATCAAACATATGCAAGAATTTATAATTAAATTGTTGTTTATTTCGTATTAATTTCTTCAGACCCCCAGTACGTGAACAACCAGGAGATGTCAGACGTGACGTTCATGGTGGAAGGGAAGCCGTTCTACGCCCACAAGATCGTCCTAGTCACTGCCTCCAAGAGGTTTAAGGCCATGCTCTCCGATAAGTTCACCGAGGGCAAGCAGCCTTGCATTGAGATCAGCGACTTCAGATATAACACCTTCAATGTAAGAACTCCATGCAGCACATAGTAAAGATGTACTTTACTTTTATTTCAAATTATGTAGCTTTGTTTCTGTAACGCAGATAAACAAAGAAATTGACTTGAGTGGGGTTTGAACCCAGGAGCTCTGGATTACCGTACCGGCGCTCTCTACCAACTGGGCTCTCCAGGCCTACGTTGGCAGTTTCACAAGTCGTTAGCATCTCAGGGCACTAGTCAGATGCCATAAACCACATGCCATGTAGCCAGGGATCAAGCCCAAAGTCGCAATGCCCGTACGGAGATGAAACTTTTCCGAAATTAGTGTGTACTTGGGGTAACTTTACAACTCAATAATTGACACGGAGACTTTGATAACTTTGAGAAAGGGCCGAAAGTGGCCAAACATGTCACTCAAAATCATCACTTGAACAAGAGAGAGAAAGTACTGAACTTTCCATACAGATGAGTGCGCACGTTTGACAAGTACATTAATAGTCTACTAGTCTTAATTCAAGGCCATACACAAAAGAATTTAATCAGAAATCTGACTTTTTGACCTCAACAACAAAATGTCTGATTTTTTTTAACGGAAATCCGGCATGAAGTTGTATGTACATGTGTAACTGCAGCGCGGCTCAGATTTCATACACATTTGTTCGTTTAGCCTATTTTCCGCTGTTTGTTTTTCCCATAACCCAGTTTCATCTCTGCTAGCAACATTAGCAATGCTGCAAACCTGAGTGACCACCTTTTGCCCTTTCCCAGGTTTGCAGCATTGCTAATGTTGCCAGCAACATTTTTTTCAGAGATGGAACTTTTCAGATTTTAATCTGAAATCAGATTTTTTTTACTTTGCCAATGAAATTTCAGATTTTTTAAAGATCCCATAAAAATGATTATTTAATGATTTTTCCACAAAATGGTGGGTTTTTTTTTCATTATAATTTCCAAAAAAAGTCTATGAAAGTCGATGAAAACGGCACAAGTGTAAAACACCTAGACCAACACTGATCAGATCCTTTTCTTGCTGGAGAAAAGGTTAAACACTGACCTATGACGTGGAAAAATGCACTGGGTCCCACGTTGATGCGCTGCGCTGCGCTGCGCTGCGCTGCGCTGCGCTGCGCTGCGCTGCGCTGCGCTACGCTGCACTGCACTGCGCGACGCTGTGGCAGCTCCGATCCAAGCTCCCATTTCAGATTTTTTTGCCAAGGCCAGTTTCATCTCTGTTTTTTGTTCCAATGCCTTTTTCTAACCTGTGAATAAATAGATCATGTTGTTTTTGTTCATTTTTTTCCCATCATACAGTTGGTGATGCAGTACCTGTACTTTGGCAGCACCGATGCATTGAGAGTGGAGACAGGGGAAATTCTTGAAGTGTGTAGCATTTTATTTTTTACCTTTCATGCGTTGTTTATTTCATTATTTGTTTTCCATACGTAGGCAAAAATATCTGCATTGGACGATGTGACATGACAAAATATGCAACAATCACCAATTGCACACAATTAAACCAATATGCACAGATTCCACTAAGACACAAAAGACAGAGTTCAACTAAAAATAATGTTAAAATTGAGAGCAGAAAAACATTTGTTTAATTTGGGGTAATTTAAAAATCTGTTCTTCATAAACACAAAACTTTTACATCCGAAGGCTAATTTTGTGATTGTTTTTAACCATAAAAAACTGATAAGATTTGCTTGGTAATTATTTAAAAGCAGTAAGAACGTGCATCATGTTTGCTCATACAAGGTATATTTTATATTGGATTTTGCCCTTCGCTGACATATGTTATAAACACTATCGGTGTTTTTGAAGGCTTGCGCGAAAAGAATTCGCTAGCTTACCTGGGTGGGATTCGAACCCAGGACCTCCTGCTTACTAGTGCAGACGTCTTACCACTCAACCACCGAGCTTGCCGGGGTCGGCTGGCGGGTTCGAGTTTGATTATGCAGCGTAGTAATTGTAAACTACATGTACTTTATTGGTCTTTTCTTTCACACAGCTGTTGGCAGCATCCAGTTTCTTCATGCTAGACCAGTTGCAACAGTACTGTGAGATGTTGTGCAGTCGCATGCTCAATGTGGACTCAGCAATGGTTATCTACAAACATGCCAAGGTACGTTTGCTTCCTGAGCTCTTTGATTCAGAGTCCATCACTGGTCCTCGCAAGTCCTTATAAATCCTCGCAGGTCCTCTTATGTCCTCACAATTCCATCACAAGTCCTTACAAGTCCATTGAGTCCTCACAAATCCTCACAAGTCCTCACAATTCAATAACGAGTCCACAAGTCATCACAAGTCATCACACATCCTCACACTTCCTCATAACATACCTCACAAGTCCCTCACAACCTCACACATCCCTCACAAGCCCTCACAAATCCTCACAATTCCTCATAATGGAATCGTAAGTCCATAAGTCCATTACAAGTCCTCACAAGTCATCACAAGTCATCACACGTACATCCTCACACTTCCTCATAACATACCTCACAAGTCCCTCACAACCTCACACGTCCCTCACAAGCCCTCACAAAAATCCTTGCAATTCCTCATAATGCAATCATAAGTCCATTACAAATCCTCACAAGTCCATCACAAGTCCATCATGAGTCCATCACAAGTCCTCACAAATCCTCACAAGTCCTCATAATGCAAGAATAAGTCCATAACAAGTCCTCACAAGTCCATCATGAGTCCATCACAAGTCCTTACAAATCCTCACAAGTCCTCATAATGCAAGAATAAGTCCATAAGTCCATTACAAGACCTCACAAGTCCATCATGAGTCCATCACAAGTCCTCACAAATCCTCACAAGTCCTCATAATGCAAGAATAAGTCCATAAGTCCATTACAAGTCCTCACAAGTCCATCACAAGTCCTTACAAATCCTCACAAGTCCTCATAATGCAATCATAAGTCCATCACAAGTCCTCAAAAATCCTCACAAGCCCTCATAATGCAATCATAAGTCCATTACAAGTCCTCACAAGTCCATCACAAGTTCTCATAAATCCTCACAACTCCTCATAATGCAATCACACGTCCATAAACAGTCCTCACAAGTAAAGCAAATAAATATCTTAATTATTTTGTTTGTTAAATAATGCAGACATTGCAACATTAACTTATGAGTTTTAATATTTGTGAATTCCCATACAGTTGTACAGCTCGGAGTGTCTCCTCGAGTTCTGCCATTCCTTCTTCCTTGCCCACTTCACCGAGCTCCTGGCCAAGAACGAGGCGTTCCGTCGCCAGGTCTTCCCGCCAAAAACCGACCAATCACAGGACCTGCTGGTCTCCCTGCAGGACACCCTCGCCCACCGACTCTACATGCGGTTCCAGAAGCAGACAACTGTTTAATGTTTGTTTTGAACAAAAAATGGCAATTTTGTTTTTTTCCAACTCATGTTAAGAATTAAGTATACTAGCTAAACTGTTTGGACTAATTTGGGACACAGTCTGCCGAAAAAATTGGCAGATTTTTTGTTCAAGTTTCCTTAGTTTTTACAAATATGTAATTCTAATCACAGTGTATGTTTTAAATAAACTTGTAATAGTTTCAGATCGTAACTGTTGCCTCTTATGGTGATATTTAGGAAGAGTACAGGTGTAACAATGTGAGAAATAAATTACAGAACAATTAAGGAAAATTCAGGAAATTTCTTTAATTTTACTGTGACACCACAAATTTCATATAGGCATATATGAAGTCATATGAAGCCAAGTGAAGTCTTTTTTCCCTTCAAAAATTAAAAATTGTTGTAAAGGGGAAGATCTATGCCTAAAGTAACACTACTTAAAAGCGATTTTAGTCCTCAGTGATTTGTTTTTTAGCTGCGGGAAGCAGCTCAAGAAATGATCGCGCTCTCCGTTGGTTAGTAACAAATGTCAGCAAATGCCTTTTATGGCAATCAATCACCTTGTCCCTCAGACCTTCACAACACTTAACCCTGACCCTGCTGAATCCAACAGGATCCAACTATGTCACATACCCGATGGAGCCTGTTGGATGGAGCAGTTAACCCCTTGTGTACATTCCTCATGCAAAATGTTGGATTCAGCAGGCAACTGAACCACATTATAACGCCATGTTGGACTCCGTTGGATTCAGCAGACACCTGAAAATGATATGAGGCACAGTGGATTGAACAGGAAAGTCCGGTTGGACTCCGTTGGATTTAGCAGGGTAGTCCTGAGGAAGTACTAGGGGGTTAGGGTTGGTTCATGGCCCTGTGTCTCCACTGACCAGCTACCAATTTATTGCAGTCTTGGAAAATTAGGTCACTGGAGTAAAAAAAACCAGATGTTTGTACTGAAAACACTACCATCGAGGTCATCAATGTCGCATTGGGGCTGGCAATGTACATGATATAAACTGCTCCATATGTACCAACTGACGTTCAACAAATGGGAATCCTTTCAATTGACAGTCACAACCTCGTGAGTAGTTGTGAGTTATAAGAACAGACTTTTACATCATGTACATGACTCATATAGGCTACAGCAGGTCTACAGTCGGGCCGCAGCTTTCGAGATCTTTTCAAGCTTGTTTTAACAACAGGCTGCTGTAGATAACACTAAAGGGTACATTTTTTGGGAATTGGAAAAAAAAACAGAACTGTGAAAAATAAACTTATTTAAATATAGAACTACATTCATTATTGCATGATCTAAACAGACATTTAGTGAACAATGGAAGTTTTGCAAGTCAGAATAATTCAGAAAGTGGACTCTCAGTCAATGTTTCTTTTTCAAACTTGTTAATGGCAGGACATTTATTGTCGTTCCCACAACATGCACAATATGTACATACTTGTATTTTTATTTTATTTTATTTTTGATCAAAAACAGTGCCAATATTGCCAACTCTCCATGAACCATTGTTTATTGTAAACAATTACTAGTTTTTTGTTTGTTTTTTGTAACTAAATATTTATTGCTTGTAATATAAGTTAACAGCGGTTTAACGAATAAGAAATTATGTGTATGCTTACATTGTGTATGATTAATTTTGACATGTTATTGAGAACAAGAAATATTGTATAGGAATAATTTGAGATCATCACAAATATAATTAGTGGATTGGACATGAATTGCTCTGGCAAGGGGTTCCTTAATTATTATTTATTATTATTATTTTTTTTGGGAGGGGGGGGGGGGACTTGCAAGGTGTCCAGATTTGGTTCTTGTGCATCTTCGTGCATTTTAAAATGCACCATTGAAAGTTGTTTTCAATGGCATATGACTGCTTTTTGAAGCTACAGTGTTCTCACACGAGTGGGCCATGTTAATAGCGCCCTCTATCAGCGGCTTTATCAGCGGCTTTATCAAAGCTGTCACATCCCCACCCCTGGTGCACCGTCACACAAAATGGACGGAGAATCCCCACCCTGGGGTCTTCATGTGTTGAAGACCAGACATAAGGGACATGGTAGCATACCGGGTGGGGGATGTGAGGGGAGAATTATCTTACTCAAAAATGTATCAAGTTATCACAATGTATGGACATATTTAAATACATGTGCATATTTATTGAGTAACGTTTTGATCAATTGAAATAAGTCTTTAAATGCAAGTACTTAGTGTGAGTATAAGTAATAACCGTAGGAGTATTGGGCGTTTTTGCAAATGGTACGAGTACAGATACCTTTGACAAACAACAGCTGAAGAGTTCAAGCACATTTCAAGTACTATAGAGAGAAACTATATCATTCACATGTGACGCATACCCCAGGTTGTCTATTAGATATGTATATTTGTCTCCGGTATCATGAAGATAATATTCAAATTTCCTGGGGGGGGGGTGCACACTTTGCAGAGTTACATATGTAAAGGAAAAAACAGCCCTCACTTATAAAAAAAAAAAAAAAAACCAGGCACCTACTAAAAATCTTGCCTACATTTTGTAAGATAATGTGTATCTACCTCCTCATGCAATTCTCAATAACATTTCCTCTTTTTCTAACCCCCACCCCTATTGTTGTTGTAGTCTTTTACCACGATTACATCTTCGCCATGTTATAAAAAAAATCCTTAAATATATATACAAAATATATTTTTGTAATGCCATTTTGTTGTAGTCTTCTAACAAGGCCATCATGTCTCTGACAGGTTTTGAAAAACCTTGACGAGTTGAGGGAAGACTACACACGCCGAGTGACGTCACTCGGCCTGTACTGTGTAGTCAACGCTCAATTCGCTCAATGTTCAAAAAGGCTGAAACTGCCCAAACATGTCTGGGGAAAAAAAGGTTTCCGAATTTGCTTTAAAGTATCCTTAGTTAGAGATTGGCCGTTTTCCAAAATTAAGTGCTTGCCTCACCCAACTCACCTTCCATTATACAGCAACACCTACTGTTACTTTCACTCGTGATTTTCGCCATACAGTGAAACCACACTGCTAGATATCAAGACATTAATCTTGTCACCAGTTTTAAACTCAAAACCATGTAAATTGTATGTGCCTAAATATCTGTCATTTACTGTGCATTTCTACTTTGTGAATTACCGGTGTAATGTGAAAATGGACTCTATGAAATACGGCATGGGACTCAGTGGTTGTAGTATAGTGCGTATGCCTTAGTGAAGATTAAGACAGTGACGAGTCACGTGTGAGGAAAAGAGACCATAATAGGTAATTCACAGTAGTCCAAATTTCATATGTCACCGGCATTTTTAACGTGCAAAATTATGCACATCTTGTGTGGTTCCTGTTCACGGTGTATTGACGTAGTTATGTGGGCGAGTATTTGTATGTAAATAACTTGGGGACTGGATGGAGAATAGTAAGTGGAAATCAGATTGATTTTCACGAAACGTGGGCCAATTTATATGGAGCTGCTAAAGCACAGGAATAAGCAGGTTATCAGCCAAAATATGCAAATGGTATTGCTTAATAGTGTTCTGTTAACAGCTAATTTCTGCTTTTTAATTTTTCTAAGCGATAGTTTCTTTCATGCAACGCCTGAATAAATCCCTGTCATTCTGATTGGTAGTCGTTGGTCCCATGTCAGTGCATGGCAATTTCCATCTTAGACTGTTTCCCGGCCCCCTAAAAACCCATTTTTGTAGTCTGAAGGACAATGGGGTCAGGGAACCAGACTACTTTCCATCTGTCACCTCATGAAATTACTCTTACCATTGCACTCATAAACATTAATTATTGTGTGTACTGTAATAGCAACTCCATACAATTTGGCCCTTGCCATGTTACCAGTCTGTCATTTGAAATTGTAGCTTCATGTGTTATGATGATGCTGTTATTAAAAGGAAGAATGTTGCTGATATTAAAATAATAACGATACTTTATTTGCAAGTTCATTCTGACAAGTTGTGTATACTTTCTTGATTTTGGCGGTATCTGGAGCCGAGAAAGATGTCAACAGAGGGCGCAAGCCAACTGGATGACGGAACCTGACAACCAAGGCGATGTATTGCGTTGCCACAAGTTGAGGCCTGATGGGGTAGCATTACAAATACAAAACCAGTGACGAACGGGGTATGGAGGTGGGAAAGGTGGCGTTTGTGGGGGATGGCTGACTTCACTAACCTTCCCCTGCCCCTGCCCCCCCCCCTCCCCGGCCCCCCCAAATAAAAAGTCTCATTTCAGGACTCCAGAAATGCCATTTTTTTTTAAGCAACAGGTCACTAACATCACACATGGGACAAAACTGGGATGGTCTCAAATAAAGCCTCACAATATGGCATACAGCATTAGCAATGTATTATTCCGTCACTTTCGCAATTTTCAAAAGTTCAAATGACCCATCGCAGTGATTTTGGGTTAACTTTTTACTTCCATGTGATTGCATTATTTTCTTGATGGACTAGGTCCTGGTGTAGTCCCCAATTCTTGACCTGGTTCGACAAAAAATCCAAAAGATTATGGAGCCTGTGACGAACACGAAGCCTGAATATAAAGCGCAAGATTTGATAAAGCGAATACCACCTTACAAAGTGCACGACTCGACACAACAAGATGTACATTTTTTTTGGTAGTTTATTTCTCCGATGAATTTCGTGATGTTCCAATTACGTATGTTGCATACTTTGTTTAATACAATAAATGTTGTCCGCATTATAATAGTCAACACAAGTTTTGGTTATTTGAAAAGAACACCAAGTTACCAGTTCGGGTAACATAAGCTCATTGTTATTGATGTGCAGTATGTTTGCAGCCGGGGGAGAATTTTTTTTCATGATTTTTTTGGTAATAAAAGTGACAAGAGGCTTTTAACTACAATGAATAAAGACAAAAATATATTGATTTACTCTGAGTATACATTAAGAAAAATTGATCTTTATTCAAGAATGTTGGGTTCTGAACATTCGCTCGTGCACACATCCAGTGGTGCTGGTGACCTCCGATTTCATTAAAGCTCTCATTGGATGAGAATATGTTTAGTGACCAGCAGGGTCAACATTCCGCATGCGCACAACTTGCGCGCCTTGATGATGGCCGTAAATACTATCCACAATGCTTTGCGAGGTATGGGCTTCCTTCACACACAAAAAGTTGTGAAAACGATAAGCGGTTACCAAACGCCCTTTGCCGGACGGCACGAGGAAATGGGAGAATTTTTTTGAGATTTTCAGCGACGGACCTTTTTTGGGTGTTTTGCGTCTTGTTTCACTTAACGTGCGCACGGTAATTTATTCAAAGAATAGATTAAAAGGACTGGTGTGCTAACTGCCACCAAGCATTTCAAGAGTCTCTTATTGTGAACAAATTGCAGAATGCGAAGCATGTGAAGTACTGATGTATACTGCTAATAACCTAGAAATTTGTTTTGTTTGTTAGAAAAGGAATGCATGCGAATTCGTGGTCTTTGTGTTTGATATCTGAATATGGTTTAGAGTTGGTCGAGTAATACAAGAAGAAACGTTGTGTATTAGCTATATGACTAAATCTATGCCTCTGTCTTATAGATCCGTTTACCAGTTATAGCTGACTACAATCAACTTCGTCACTTGTTGGCTGATTGATGGATAAGCAAAAGATCACAAGTGGACTTGTCAACGAAATGGTTGACAGGGGTGCATTCTTGAAAAAAAATCCACGGTACCGTGATCATTTTGCTGATCCACCAACTGATCAACAAGCCAATGAGTTGATTCGTTCGCAGTGTATTAATGCCATGTTCGAGTCGGCACAATCTCAATTACAGTCAGCTAAAACCGGCCACGTAGCCTTGGGGTCCAGTCGCCAGAACTAGTCCTTCAGGCCCTCCCGGTCGTACACGTACTCGCCCAGGCCGGACCCGACGCGGTTCAGCTGAGTCAGGTGGTCACCCAGCTCCTTGATGGCCTCCACTTGGTGGGTCAGGAAGTTCTGCTCGATCCAGTCGCACATCTTCGATGAAAAAAAGAAACAAACATGTGATTGGAAGCCTTAGTTGGAGAATTGTACTGACTTGACGTTTCGACCAGTTGGATTAGCAAAAGGCAAGAGTGCAAGACAGTACAACTTGGGAGAATTTCGGCAGAAACATCAGGAGAAGTAAGAATTGTACTGACTTGATGTTTCGGCCACGGTTGGATTAGCAAAACGGCAAGAGTGCAAGACAGTACAACTTGGGAGAATTTCGGCAGATACACCATGGAAAATAAGAACTATACTGACTTGACGTTTCGGCCAGTTGGATTAGCAAAACGGCAAGAGTGCAAGACAGTACAACTTGGGAGAATTTCGGCAGATACACCATGAGAAGTAACAACTGTACCCACTTGATGTTTCGGCCAGTTGGATTAGCAAAACAGCAAGGTAATACCTCATGACTTTTATTTTAGAACCACACAACTTATCTCCAATTTGTTTTCCCCGGCTGTACGCTAGAAAACGATGCATTACTGAAACTGTTCTCTGGTCTCAGAGAGTCAGCCTAGGGTGCTCTTTAATTAGTACATATTTCGCTGACTTACTGTGAGCTGGGCAGTGCTATTTTATAGGAATACCCCGTAACTTAAAAGCAAATAAATGGTCTAATTCCTACCCAATGTGTTGACCAGATGCAAGACAAATACATCCAGTTAATAACGATTCTAAATCTATTGAATATAATGTTTGTGTATGGGACCAGCTTTACTAGGCTTGCATTTTCATGTTTGTGTGTGTGCCCCTGAAGATTTGAAATAACATCTGTAGGGTTGACAATTTAAAGGATTTAAAAAATATATTTAAGACAGGGCTATAGGGTTGGGCAAGCTGCCAGAAAGCTAGTATAGGGACGGCCTTTGACTCTAGAAAGAAAAGCCTATGCCCACATGACATGAAGGAATTATACCTGGGCATCCCCGTTCTTGTCGGCCACCTTGTGCAGATCCAGCAGAGCCTGGTTGACTTTCTTCTCCAGTGTCAAGGCAGCATTCACAGCATCCATCAGAGAACCTGATGAAAAGGAGTCAATTCACATCTTGAGTTCTTCAATTCACATTATATCTGTGAAGTGAACGACTAGTAGTAGCCCCTTACAAAAAGTTCACCCACGATACGTGCACGTACATGTACATAATTGAATCGTTTGACCGTGGACACAGAAGTTGGGGCTCAGAAGTTTAAAAAAAACAACCGGGTTTTTGTTTGTCTTTTCTCAGGAACAGTCTAGTTTCCTTTCAACCAAACATTTCAGTATAAGAGACGATCTTTAACATAAAACTTCCGGCGATTTCAGAACGATGTACCACTTTAATTATAGATGTAAAAGACAAGTTGGCATTTCCTCCGCCCCGTTTGATGCCTGTGTTCCTGTCCGCCCCCCCCCCCCCTGTGAAAAATTACTACATGTATTTGTTCCCAGCAATATACAATTTTTGACTTTGAAAGAGGCACTGATATCGAGCTAAGAAAGGAGTTCCGCTCGCGTTTAATTATGGAATAATTACTTTACACATTTCGAATTATTTTCCGCCTGACAATAATTTAGGCGTCTATCTTGAACGTTGTGGACGAAACAGCAACCGAAACATATTTTCAGATGGCTGAAAATGTCAAAAATAGGGGGGGGGGGAGTAGCTGGAATTGGAAATTCGTTAAGAAAAAAAAATCAAATAATGTTAAAGAGCTCTACAGCAAGGTTAAAGTCAATAAAAAAGTACAAACCCCAGGAATCAGTTTCTGGTTTCTTGATGTCCTGCAAGACGATGGATCCGCCACGCTGATTCTGAAACTTCATGAACATCTGGGCGTGGTCACGCTCCTCATCCGAAGCCTTCTTGAAGTACTCGTGAGCACCGGGGAGGCCGATATTGGCATGCTTGAAGTAGTAGGACTGTTTGAACAGATAAAGTTGTGAAAATAACTGATCAGTAAATGTTAAGTCTTAATTTAGCCATGGTCAAAGATTGAATTTTAATTTTGTTCCCTTCATTATGGTGGCTCTGAAGGGACATCAAAAATCATGAATATTGACGTCATTGTGCACGATTGGCGATGTCCCTGCAGAGCCACCATACCTAATGCAACCGGTCATGGCGAAGCGCGGTCACGCGGCCAACGCGGCGGTACAGGTCGCTTTCAACAAGGTGGAAATCAATGAAACAAATTAAATTAAGTATAGACCATTATCATGTTGGGGCCATCTACATTTCGTCGCTTTGCTCACAAAGTGACAAAAACCTCGAAAATCGATAATTATTCGATTTCGAGTTTTACCAGCCATTTTACTATAGTTGTCTCAAGGAACAATTTGACCAAGTTTCAAGGCACAATGCTGTTTACTTTCTTAATTATTGTAAACAAACAATTGACAAAAAGCCTGAAATCGGTGATTTTCATTTTACGAAGTGTAAAATGTTTTCACGAAGTGACAAAAAGTCACCTCGTGAGCAGGGCCAGAAATTATACATTGGTCTACATGCGGCAGGATGGGAGCATACACGAGCGCGCGAACGATGTTGAAAAAGAAAAAGGACGCGCGCGCGCTCATCTGTCGTGACGCGCAAAAGTAACAAGTTTGTTGCGTCGAAAAGTACAAATAGACCGCTTGCAGACGCGATCGATAATTGACGCGAAGGTGCGCGACGCCATGTTGTGGGACAAAATGTGCATGGATAGATATACGCTTGTCCCACAACATGGCGTCGCGCGCATTCGCGCGTCCATTATCGAACGCGTCTTCAAGCGGTCTATAAGTAAAGCCTCCGCGATTCAAGATCCCACGAAGTGACAAAAACTGTGTACAAAGTAATTGGCAAAATATGAGAGCCAAAGTATTGATGTTCTCACGAAGTGCAAACAAGTTTTATTAATGAATTACTGTTTAATTACGAATTATTTTTAACAAACAACTATGAAGTAACAAAGAGCAAATCATATCCTATCGGACAATGCAAACATTTCCGAATTCTGTTATTGCAAAGTGGTCGAAAATGTCTTTTGAAAAAATGAATAACTTCAAATGCGATTATCTCAGCATGAACTTTTGTCAAATTTTGAGGTTTTTGTCACTTCGTTAGCAAAGCGACGATTTGTTCCCATTCAAATCGACGTAACCAATGCGAGGCTGGAAGGGAAAATAGTCTGGTTCCTTTTTTCACAAAAACACATTATCATTCAGTACTGTTGATACAGGGAACATGACTGGAATGGTGGCAGCATGATAAAGGTCTATTTGGAATGTTAGCACTGGGACCGTTCTGCACAAGCATACCTCACGTGCGCGCATTAGTTTAGATGTAGCGCTCCACAGGTGCAAAAGAAGTTGAATACAAGTGACGTATGACACGAGAATTTGTCGAGACACGCAAGCGTAGTGACGTCATCGATGTGTAACTATTATGTGAATTGCCGCCTTAAAGTGACGTAATTAAAATGGAAAGCAAGCAAAGTCATGTAGTGTACGATCTCATTTTAAAAACGTCAATATAGTGAAATAAAAAGCTCTAGGCGTAGGCCTACTAAAAAAAAAATCCGCTTTCGTTAAAACAAATTCACACCTGTGCATGTCACTTCAAGATCACCATACAGTATATACTGTATCCCCCGTTGTTTTAATTTCTAACACTGCAACCTGTAAGGGCAAAATTTGTTGAGTTCATATTTCAGACGATGGGGAAAAGACTGCACCCTCATAGTCTTAGGTAATACATCACGTGACCACACGTCCGGCGTAGCGTGAATATCCGACTCCGTGAAATGTGGACTGCGCACGCGTGAGTACGATACTATGCTATTTTTAGGATCGTTTCGGGAGAGTGACCTGTCACGTGCGAGGGATCAACCAATGATAGGGAAATAGGGGTCCGATTTTCATAGGAGTCGGATTTTCATGTGACACCGGTAATTATGTCAATATGAAAACTCCCGTGTCTATAGGCGTCAAAGCAAACGGACAATGGCCATTTTTATGAGGAGTCATGGGTTTTACGTGCCCTACGTGACATGGATGTCTTTCGCAATGGCTACGCCCCGGGGCTAGCTGACGGTCTGTTGAAACCACATCTGTTGTCGGGCGCTTTGGCACTGAGCTGTTCTGCAAAATCTCTCTGAACGACTTAAATGTGCAGCATTTCGTTCTTCATCAATATCACTTTTGCATTGCGCAAGTTCGCGAATTAGACATGACATATATGTACATGTACAATTCCACGGTCATGCACTGAGCTGTAATTCTGCAAAATCTCTCTGAACGACTTACAATGTGCAGCATTTTGTTCTTTATCAAAATATCACTTTTGCATTGCGCAAGTTCGCGAATTAGACATGACATATATGTACATGTACAATTCCACGGTCATGCACTGAGCTGTAATTCTGCAAAATCTCTCTGAACGACTTACAATGTGCAGCATTTTGTTCTTTATCAAAATATGACTTTTGCATTGCGCGAGTTCGTGAATTGGACATGACATATAATGTTAAATTCCACGGTCATGTAATGATTATTCGGCCGAGATTTAGGTCAATTTAGTAACGCCTAATTTATTCGAATTTTGTGGGTTTGGTGGATTACAAGTTGCAGGGCTTAGTGAGGATTTTACTGCAGATTCTCTTCTTCTTTTCTTCTTTTTTTTATTAAATGGAACAAGACAGTAGACGTTATTTGGAAGTAGGCCTTCAGCCAAATTTCATTTGAATTAAACATTCATAAGTCGCTGAACTAAAAATCACTTCTTTTACAAAATGCCCTTGTTTCTACAACACCGCACTCATTTCTACAAAACTGTGCTTAAAAAAAACAATAAAAACTGCGGCAATATTTGGGTGGTTTAATGAATTATAAAATTCCGTCCGAAGAGTCCAAAACATGAATATGACTTGTGCAAGTTACTTGACACAAAACAAACATTTTGTGTTTTTTCCCCCTGCAATCTAACTTGAAATCGCTGTCAACTTGAACATATTTAGACCGATGGATCACCAGAGTTATCGGTAAATAACTTACAAATTGTTCTTAATGAAATACTTGAAAACGTTGGTTAATTTGAACTGGCGATTTAATTTTAACCAAAAAAAAAAAGAATGACAAAAACACTACAGCACATTCCGACTACTGGAAATAATTTTTTTTTTAATAATAAATAAAATTAAATTAAAATCATGGAGGTGATAATGACATCCACAACATATTGCTGGAATATCTTGACCAATGTGGACACTTTTGGTGGGCAGTTGAAGTGTTTTCATAGCCATTTTTCTTAATATTGACAACATGGACAATAACAAGGATGATCGAGGTGATGATCAAGATGATAAAAGGAAAACTTATACGGAAATTTATGGAGGAAAAAAGGATCGAAAGTCGACGGCCTTACCATGGACAAGTACACGTAGGAGGCGTACAGCTCCAGGTTGATCTGCTTGTTGACGCCCGCCTCGTTCTCCTCATGGTAGTTCTGGCGAATGGTGGCCATTGTGTCAATTGATTTCTTGCTTGTATATTGTGAGTTACAAGGTACAATAAAAATTGAGTAGAAAACTAAAAAACTAGGATTTTGATCTCAGAGTTGCCTGGTTCCGACACTGCGAAAGCACAAACAATTCTGAACTGTGAGACTTTCACTGCGCCACAGCAGTTTATATAGCAGGTTGGTGGCTGTTCCTTTTATCAAACCTACAAGTGTGAATCTCTTTATTTCCCAACTTTAGATTGCTAAAATAAACCAAGTATTATTCGATATTATGCAGTTAGGTTGATGTATAGTATTCTCAATGTTCATATATTGTATTTGTAAACAATCTGCTGATTTTCTGATTCAATATTGTCGAAAATTAGTAACAAAATGAATGCATTAAGTTCAGGAGATGTATCAGCGTTTTGCTAAGTAGTGTAATAATATCGATATGGAATTTGATTGGGTGATGTAAATGTGCTCGTACTTGACACCGAAAAAAATAGCCTTGTCACTGCGTTCTCTGAAGAAGAAAAAGAAAAAAAACATTGTCTTTGAGATTTGCCATTCCAATCCCCAGTGTAATGTTTTGATAAGATGTGATGATTAGCGGTACACCCCTAAATATAGGTGTTTTAATAGCTTTTTTTGCCTTAAAAATGGTACTTACTTTTAAAGAGACATCGAACGGGAAAACAAATCGGCCAACATTTAGTTACGGAATAATTGTACTGAACTTATTTCGAATAATTCATTTCTTACAGCAGTCACGGGTAGACTGCTGAAAGGGCATCTAATATATTTAATGCAAATCTTGAAATGTACCTTTTTGGCACATTTAAGTTTAGTTTGTTGTCCTCAAATTGCCATTTTAAGGGGTTTTGGTGCGTGATGAAAATATCCTTATCCATGAGCAAAACTGTGATGTCATTCAAGCAAGAACTTCAGTTTCACATCTGCCTCAGCGTAAAAAAAATCACCAGAATGTTTTGTTGTGGATATTTTTCTGCTTTCAGTGGTTCATTGTTCCGGTATAGGACAGTTAGACAATGAGAACACGTTATGAAAACTTTGTTTTCGTAAATTAATAATTATACATCAGACACTAAGAAAAAAAGGACATATTTGTTGAAGTGAACGGGTAGTAAACAACTTGTACAAATATATTTTACAAAACCCTCGGTTCAAGTTAAAGGGAATATACATCATTTGCTTTTGCTGTAATTTTCAGAAATAGATGGAATTGGGGGGTTGGAAATATATAGCAAATATAGTTACACTGACTTTTTTTAGGTTTTGGGTTCAAAAATGCTATAAAAACCAAGAAAAACAATCATTTTCCTGTAGTCTGGTTCCCTGACTCCATTTAAGAAGAAACAGAGCAGTTTACATACATTGGGGAATTGTAAGGTCAGGGAACCAGTCTAGCTGCTTTGTACCCGTTCATAGGTGTGTAATCGATTGCAAACAAGTGCGATGGTCAATTGGGGCCAGTATTTGAAAAAAAGCCAGTTTTTTCCAACGCTGATCGGCCGATCAGCGTTGGAAATTGATACAAAAATACCACTTTTCTTGAAAATGACAGTATACCAGGTGCCATGATTTTACAGGATGCTTTACACTGTCATTCACTAACAGTCCAGCAAGGAATTTCAAAATGATTTGGTAGTTTTATTTTTTGATGTTTGAAAATGTTGTATTTTCCCTTTAAAGCTGTAAATCTTGATAAGCGTCCAAGTTTTCCGAACTGCCAAGCTGTTCTCCTTCAACTTTGCGCTCATTGTTGGGAAAGACCTGACCTATCAGGTCATGTAAATGGACTTTATTTGGCAAGACAGACAATATATGACTTTGCATTATGTTTTTCAACAAGGAACAGTAGTATTGTTTACATACAATGACATTGTTTCCCTGGCCCTGAAGTTCCTTGAACTTGCAATTCTGAATCGGCACGTAGGCCATTCGAGTGCCATGAGTGTGTGTACGGTACGGGGGCAAGGTTGCAGTAAACTGCCATAGCACCAATGATAAATACTCCACCTCCAACTTCAAACATCGGGGGAAAATATACCATCAACTCTCACAGGTGTTCAATACATCATACCGTAGGTCTACATTAAACCTCTTTTATTTTGGGTTCAATACTTGTAGGGTTGACTGATGACTTTTTGTGATGATTTTTTCCCTCAAAAGGTGACTAGGACTACACCTAAAAGCCAGTCCTGAAATCTATCGACAAAAAATATCCAAAAGGCGTCTATTCCATTGCAAAATAGAGCGACTTGCCGGTCCAATTAAATTCATCCTCATTTTCTCAGCAATTCTGGTTCCAAGTCCGAATTAGACATTGGACTATTATTAGTTGCTTACAAAACCTCAAGTGCAATTGGCCACAATTTGTAAAGAGAACTATGATGAAATACAAACGGTAATTTTGTTCGGCGTAGGCAATTTGGGTCTAATCCTCAATCGCAAGTACACATGTACATGTACATGTACATGATCATGAAATTGATCCATGATTGAACGTCTGTCGTCACATGACGCTGACAAAGAGTCTGCTGCTCTGGTTTCGCAATCGTGTACCACTGTGGGTAAACACCGACCTTGCCCTTCTAGGATACAGGTCGCAAGCGTGACTATCATAATGCCGGTGTCATATGAGATTTGGACTCCTCGTGAAACTGGTCTCTTTTATTACTTTATTTGACAAGCTGTCATGCGCAATACAGCCATTTTGGTCCGTATTTTAAAGAGTATAAATTTCATACTTCACCTGTTATGGGACCGACCATTCATCAGTCATTCACTAGATGTGGGGGACGCGGGGCTGGAGGAGAAAAATAACCTTCATTTGGCTTTGAAGAAATTGAACGAAAAAAACCCCTCCGCACAGTGTTCCATGCAGAACGGTGGAAGCGGTGGGGCGGGCATCTAATTAGAACCGTTGAGGGTGCAGGCTGGTATAGGGCATTTAGAGACAGTTGGTACCGCGGTATCTCGCGTCATTTTGAGTAGGATTGGAAGTAGAAGTCACATTTTTATGGTGTTCCATATGTGCCAACGGCCTCGCATTTTATTATTTTTTTGGCGTCGTATTTTTTTTTTGTGTTCGCCTTTTTCTTTTTTGTTCGCCTTTTTTTTTTTTGTTCGCCTTTTTTTTTTTGTTCGCCTTTTTTTGGGGGGTTCGCATTTTTTTTTGTTCGCATTTTTTTTTTTTTCGCATTTTTTTTTTCGCATTTTTTTTTTTGTTCGCATTTTTTTTGTTCGCATTTTTTTTGTTGTTCGCATTTTTTTTTTTGGCGGCGCATTTTTTATTTGGCGGCGCATTTTTTTTTGGTCGCATTTTTTTTTTTTGGTCGCATGTGTTTTTTTTGGTCGCATTTTTTTTTGGGTCGCATGTTTTTTTTGGCGGCGCATTTTTTTTTAGGCGTCGCATTTTTTTTAGGCGTCGCATTTTTTGGGGGGTCACGTGTCCACGTGCCTGTCATGTGATGCCCATGTGATGTCTGGGAATACCAAGGAATCAGGCGCGGTTCTAGAACAAATATTTTGGGGGGACTAGCACGGTGGATCCAGGCCTCCGAAAATCAATAAGTGGGGGGGGGGGGGGGGGGAGGGGGGGCTCATGCCATATTTTCAATGGGGAGCGCCAATAAAATCCTAAACTCATTCACACTATACATGTATCACAAGTCCCAAGTTCCCCCCAAAAATTATTCTTAATTAATGAAATAGAAATGCACGATTTCAACAGTATCCCAAATGCAAATGACAGAGGACACTCTTCTGCCCATCTTGTGAGAAAATTATAGAAATCCAATCACGCATACCAACACGAAGCTCATTTGAATGAAAAAAGTGCTAATAAAAAAGTTGCAGTAAATAGCATTGCTCCAATGTACTGGTTTGATCATGCTTTAAAAGGTAGAATGTTAATCCCTTTTGTATCTAATCTAAAAGTAATAGGATTACACAGCATTTTCTTTGTCATCTTTGCATTCAAAGGTCTGCAATTATCTGTTACATTACCAAGATTGCGTCTTGTTTTAGTTAAACATCCTTTTAAACAAGGAAACTTTTGTAAGGTAAAGTTATTAATTAATGAAAGTCTACCCTGCCTTGCAGAAGAGTGTCCTCTGTCATTTGCATTTGGGATATTGTTGAAATCGTGCATTTCTATTTCATTAATTAAGAATAATGTTGGGGGGAACTTAGGACTTGTGATACCTGTATTAACTAATGCACCCTTGTCACGGCTATTTCTTCTTTTAGGGGGAGACCGTTCGCATGTACATCACAATCCCTTTTTTTGCTAATGTCTTTTGCTAAGATATTTAGGTTTGTTTGTGATCCGACTTAAATATAATGATTAGGAAAAACGATATATTCATAGTCTGTTGGGGAAAAGTGCTGTGGAATAAGTGTTGAAATATACTCCCTCCCGGATCTGTAAAGTGTAATTCATGTTATGTAGGGACTAGCGGGATCGGTAGATCTGCGCGATCGGTCGATCGCGTCCAGTCCACAGTAGTAGGATGAGAAAGAAAATTGTTGTATTTGGCTTGAGACAGCGGGTTCGACTGATACATCATGATCAATCGACAGCCGGTGATGCGATGGATCCCCTGATAATATCGCGTCTATCGACTGATCGCGCAGAACCGCGGACTCGCGCAATGGGAAAGACTGCTGCAACCTGCAGTGACGCTACTTCAGCAGTTATTGTGTACAAAGTGTTTGGAGAGTCAACAATTTGTTTTAATTATTTCCTAACAAAATTGGAAATATTTCTCAGTCCCAGATTCATGTCATATCATCATTTTTTTTGCAATGAGTGACCTTCATTGAGATGATATATGAATAAAAAAAAGCAGCGTCAGGTTGCAACATTATTTCCTTTTGTTCAAGGCGTGGCTGGGGGGGGGGGTAAACAAACTCCACATCTCTGTCCATTTCTAGCCCCACTTGTGTGGCCTCGGTATTGCTGCGATGTACGTTAGGCCACACGTCTGGTTTCCCAACCTACTGAGGAGTTTAGTCCAAACTGGCGCATATGGACTCCAGGAAGATGCCCAAATTTCCAGAAAAATTGGCACAAAGATTACCTAATCTACCCGGAGGGCAAAAGCTGAGAAATCATAGAATACAACTATATAAAGTGGTATGCCAAAAAAAAGCCAAAAAAGGATGCGCCAGTGTTTGGACTTAACTCCTCAGTACTGTTGGAAAACCAGACGTTTGGCCTAAACGTACAGCTCAGCAATACGGAGGCCACACAAGTGGGGCTATATGTCCATTTCCACAGAAATGCCTGGAAAAAATTAACGCTAACTCCGCCCACCCCCCCTACTCTGACACCCAAAAACAATTATTAATACGCCTGTGCCCACAGACAGAGCCTGCTTGAGAAGAGTTAGAGGTTGGAATGATCATGAAAGCAGCTGTAACCACTTGAAAAATGTGTAACTCAGGTGCGGGGGGGGATTCAAAATTCTAAGGCTCTCGTAATTGAAAAGAGGGGATGGGGGCATCACCAAAAAGGGACACTTTTTTTTGGGGGGGGGGGGGGGAGGGCTACATTTTCTGCTGATGTTGGCACTTTTTTTCACCGTACACCTGGCCTCCGTAAAATCAAATAGTGGGGGGGGGGGGGAGGCTGGTACCATCTTTCAAAATAGGGGCACTATTCAAAACCAGCCACTATGCAAACTATTTATGTACCTGCCCCTGTGTACAATCACTTTCCATTGGAATACTGCAACATTTAGCTCAGCAGGCTATTTTCTGTAAAGCAACAATTACAGTAATACTTTTTGAAAGTTTCAGTATTTTTTTGTCTACTTTCATTAGTTTTGTTGAAGTAAGCTGAGACGAGCTGAAACAGTTACTTGTTATATTTTTCTTCAGGCGACGCCACCAAAAAACCAATGCGCTGGCCCCCCAAAAATGCGCCGCCCCCCAAAAAATGCGCCGCCCCAAAAAAAAGGCGCCGCCAAAAAAAAAAAAAACGCCGCCAAAAAAAAAATGCGCCGCCAAAAAAAAAATGCGACGCCCAAAAAAAAAAGTGACGCCAAAAAAAAAATGCGACGCCCAAAAAAAATGCGACGCCAAAAAAAAATGCGCACAAAAAAAAAATCGAACAAGAAAAAAAAAATGCGAACAAAAAAAAAAATGCGAACAAAAAAAAATATGCGAACAAAAAAACAAAAATGCGAACAAAAAAAAAAATGCGAACAAAAAAAAAAATGCGAACAAAAAAAAAAAATGCGAACAAAAAAAAAATGCGAACAAAAAAAAAAAATGCGAAAAAAAAACAAAAATGCGACCAAAAAAAAAAATGCGACGCCGTTGGCACATATGGAACACCATACATTTTCTCAAATTAATATTTTTTTTCCTTCGAATGAACAAATTTGCCGCATCTTTTAAGTTTCACGTCTTTAGGCCCCTTCATACTATACACGAAAGCCGGCCTCAACAAATGGGAAGTTTCATTGTTAGTTACCTTTGGTACGGTTTCTCTATTGAATGTATAATTGTTCACATTATACTTTAATTCACGTGTCTTCGAATTTCAGCAGGGGACGATCAGTTTTGGAATGTTATCCCTGGATAGCGCCACTTGGGCGTCATGTACGAACCAGGGTTACGTGGATGATAAAAAAAAGAAATAGTTTTTATGGGGGTTAAAACCACGGTGGAAGCGGTGGGGCGGGGCATCTCATTAGAACATGAGGGTGCAGGCTGGTATAGGGCATTTAGAGACAATTGGTACCACGATAATCGGCCTGACATCAGCATTTTTCGTCGACGCTGCGATGTGGTCGTGGAGGGGGCAGGTCCCTTCGCATGTGAAAAACGGACTTAATTGTTGTAATACGCATGTAATGTGTCAGTGGACAGTGGCCGGTTTGCGAATCTTTTTTTTCAACCGACATCCGTTTTCCATCTTCTGATTGGTCAGTTACATGCATTATCTAATGGCTTGTTCTCCACAACACAAACCAAAGATATTTACGTCTTGTGAGAAAATGTTCGTTCCTCACTTTAGTTATTTAAAGGTAAAATGAGAAGTGAAAAACGCTCACTGGGATTCGAACTCGGATCACCTGATAAATAGAAGTCAGGACTACTTCCAACTACATGTAGTTCACGAATCAACTGCCAGTCGTCGGTGATTTAAGCACCATTCCTTGTAATATACATGTACATGTATAACTAAAGCCCCGGACATCATGAATATGCATAACGCAGTGAGAGCGCCCTCTTTGATATTGTCCGATCTCGTTTAGGAAAATAAATTCGCGGCCGGTTTGAGGGTACATGACACCGACATCAAGTCCTTTCTGAGATTACGGTGCACGTATTAGGTAAGGGGGGCCGTTTTCGTCGCGTTTACCCATCCCCTCTTATTGTGTCCGCTACGTCTCAAATTCGGCCAACATTTAGCATTGATGAAGGCGTCTTCTCACTTCACACCTGTAATCACCTCATCTTATTAACACATCTTAAAATACACGATCATGTTTCTTTTTTCCAGGCTATTTACATGAAGTTTTCCCACCATCCTAAATTAAACGCTGCAATTAAACAATAGAAAACCTTCAAGAAATAACACCATACAACATGATTTACACTTTTTTTGTAATATTTATTTCTCCCGAGATGAGTTTCTTGCTTGTTCTCAATGGACAGATTGCCCAGATTGTTTAATACATTTTGTACTCGTGTTAAAATACAGGTTTTGACATTTTAATGATATAAGTTGAACGCCAAGGTATATGATAATGCTTTATACCGACTGTAGAGTTGTACATTATGTTTGCAACAATGGGGAGGTTTTTTTTTAAGCTAAACATTCAAGTGACGAGAGGCAGTAAACTACATGAATTAAGGACAGAATAAGACTGGATATTTGGAAGAAGAATAAGTAGAAGAACTCTTATGTTTTACCAAAGTACTGGGATTTCAAAGGAGATCAACAATGCTCACAATGGCGGGATATGCTCAAGGATTTTTATTTTTGCTTTACGTGTACTGGAATAATACTCGGATCAGGATGAGGTTTGTTTGGTATTTGGTATGCAAATGGTATGCCGAATTACAAGAAGGACAAGATTTTTTGTAGATACATTATTATAAACTATGCCTCTGTCTTTAGGTGGTTATATCGTAGCGGACCGGTTAGCCACGTTGAAGAAATCAACTGATTTGGCGTGTTGATGGCACTGTGGATGATGCAAAAAGACCACTGGGATTGTTCAACTGAGCATTGGAAATCTTCAGAAGTCGACCAGTGATCATTTTGAACCCATCCACCACTACCAATCAACAAGCCAATGAGTTGATCCTTTCGTCAGCGGATCGCAAATGATGGTCTAGTCAGCGGAATCCACTGTAGTCAGCTAACCGCGCTAGCCTTGGGAACCAGCCGCTAGATCTAGTCCTCCTGGAAGTTCTCCTTGTCGTACATGTACTCTCCCAGGCCGGCCCCGACGCGGTTCAGCTGAGTCAGGTGATCGCCCAGCTCCTTGATGGCCTCCACTTGCTCGGTCAAGTAGTGGTTCTCGATCCAGTCGCACATCTAAGATGGAAAAAGTAAAAAGAAAATTCTTAGACGTTACCCAAGCATATCCAACTTCAAGACGAATGTTCCAGTTTGAAGCGATGTATCGTGGATAGTTTCCACCAAGTGACACATTGTTTTTACTACAGACAAGCAACTGGGAATTAAGGAAAAACTCAAATCAGTCCCATGCCAAAAGCCATTCAGATAAATTGAAACAAAGGCATTGCTTTGTCATTGTTTAACCCTAACCCTGCCAGACACATCACAGTGCATCAGGTGGAAAAGTCTGGTGCACTTTGATTGAAAATGATACCAACAACAGTGCATGAACGACCACTTCTGAGACACTGAGAGCTAGTCCCATAGAACAATGCGAGAGTTGTATCCTGCTGCATTTGGTGACCACAGACTCTGAGGCAGTTTGGCCTTGAGACTTTTGGCCTGATGGATCATGCTACACTGGGCAGGCTTGTCATTTTGACAAGTGTTGCATGTTGCTGCGTTTGGCAGGGTTTCTAGCCAAAATACCCTGGAGGGTTAGGGTTAACATACGTATGAATTGCTTTGTGATGCACTTGTGACCAGACCTGTGATGGGACCCGACAACTACACTAACAGATTGAACTACACTGTTGCACTGTACAGGTTTACCCCTGCGGGGTTTTTGTCGTACCTGGGCATCTCCATGCTTGTCAGCCACCTTGTGCAGATCCAGCAGAGCCTGGTTGACTTTCTTCTCCAGGGCCAAGGCTGCAGTCACGGCGTCCTTCAGGGTGCCCCAGGAGTCGTTCTCGGGGCGCTTGATGTCCTGCAGGACGATGGTGCCGCCGCGCTGGTTCTGGAACTTCATCAGCTTCATGGCGTGTTCGCGCTCCTCGTCAGAAGCCTTCTTGAAGTACTTGTGGGCGCCAGGCAGGGCCACAGTGGTGTTGTCAAAGTGGTAGGCCTGTACACAGGAAAAACAAAGGTGAACAATGGTTGAAGTTTTGAGATCAAAGCACCAATTGATATTCAAAGGGAAGAATGGTTCACTCTGATGCCTCCTGATAAATCTTGATCGTGTGCAAAAGCTTATGGAGAGCTACGATAACTTTTTTTAATTTTCTACCAAACCCCAAGGAAGAGTGTTGTTACCCGACGCCAATTTTTTCTTCATATATCGTCTTAATAAATGTCAGTCATAGACTTGGTACACAAGTAAACACAACCGCTGAAGTGGCGTCTGGATTCTACATTCTTTCCAACTCTAGTCCAAAAATCCCAAATCCATACTTGACTGGTCATATATTATTTAAGATGAAAAAAGTGGCATCAGACAGGATACAATATTATTTCCGCCAAGTCATTCTTAACACAAATCTCACTCAAAAGAAATCAAAATCACAAGTTTGATGTTCAACAGAAATATATCAGTCACCCTCTATACTACAGTTAGGCTACTTACTGTAGCACTTTTATCATGTAAACACACATTAAGAAACCATGAAAAAGTTCTTTCCTTTATGGAATCACCACACATCCGGGTATTGTGTTACGCGAAGCTTCCCGCCCCCCGCAGACGCGACAACAATGCAACCGTGCGTCACGAGGCACGTCACGTGACATGGGCGGATTTTGCAATGGCGACATCATTTCAAACCGATCGTTTCTTCGTTCCTGCTTTTCAGGCCGATTTTTGGAAGGGTACTTACAGTACTAAAATGCCATATTAACAAAGCATTTTACCCATCATATTTATCTATATACTAGCGAGGCAACGTATAAGGATAAGATGGGCTGTAAAAGCGAGAGGAAAATGGTACATTATGGTGGGGAAAAAAGATCGAAAATCTGTCACTTCTGAAGTTGTGGCCAAAAATTCTTACCATAGACATGTACACGTAGGAGGCGTACAGCTCTAGGTTGATCTGCTTGTTGACGCCGGCCTCGCTCTCCTCATTGTAGTTCTGGCGGACGGTTGCCATCTTGTCACTTGATTTGTTGCTTCTTGAAGTACGTTACAAAATAAGAAAAACTAGAAAAGGTTCTAGAAATATTTTTTCCGAATCTGAACTGCCTGGTTCCGACACTGCGAAAGCACAAACAATCCTGAGTTCTGAATTTTCAGCTGCGCCACGCGTTTATATAGAACGACGCTGGCTGTTCCTCCAATTGAACTTACAGGTACGTTTTTGCTCAGTTAAGTTACGATTTGATGACAGACAATGAATACTACAACATTATTATCACTTATAATCAAATATACAATATATTTAAAGGCTTTAAAAAACATAATTGGTAGGTTTTTTTTAAATGCACGAGTAATTGAATATAAGAGTGAAACAAAATGGGGAGGAGGTTAAATGAATATACAATTAGCATGCAAAGCAGCTGGCTAGGATCTGAGATTTGATTGGTCGTCAGAATGACGTTTAGGCTATTTATAACATAGGTGAGATGACACTGCAAAAAAACCCTTATCACGCGCTGTAATCGGTGCAGTGTTTTGAAGTTCTCGAATAATAAGTTCTGACGAAATACTAGTATTGTATTGGTTAAGTAAACGTAAAATGGCCTTCCCAAAAAACCCGCAAAGTCATTTCCGTTTTGAATGGTATCTTTATTTAAATGAAATGGTGGTAAAAGTACCTTTTTGAAAATTGAAACATGGCAGAATTTGTTGTCCTAAGCACAAACTAGTTATGATGCCCATGAATATGAATGTTACCGAGTGGTAATTTATAAAGCGGGATATGGTGTAACTAACCCTAAATAATTAAGGAAACACGGATGCAGACTAAAAAAAAAAGGAAAATCCAAGAAACACCAATTTACAAAACTGCGGTAAATGTTATTCAAATTGTCGACTGGGTCGTTCTTATTCCTCCATGGTCGAAATTAATGCAAGGATACACAAAAGGAAAATGTATTGCTACGAAAATCGACAATCAGTAATAAAAAAAAATGGCAATCAGTACTAAAAAACAAATCGACAATCAGTAATGATTAAATGCAGAGGGGCCGTACTACAAGTGAAAATAAATATGTACATAAGGTAAGGGACCGTTGACAATAAATCTGTCGACCGGTCACATGAAGAAATATTTGTCAATGCAATGTTGTTTCGTCGTGTAATAGGCGCTACAATCTTTACGTCTTTATGTCCTTCTTTGTTCGTACTATTTCCGGGATAAAGTTCACTTTCATATCATCAAGTATATGTCCTAACTTATAAGCTTTAGAGAACATCGAAAAAGAAAACATTTGCACACAAATAAAATAAAATTGAACAGCGAGTCCGAAAACTCGATGGCATGATTTTGTCTTTCCAAAAACACCCGAATTCTAAGAGTATATGTGTAAACCTCGCTACCTAGGTCTGTACTCATTTTTTGTCAGCGTCATAAACGCAGTGCTTCGTCCGAGGTGTACATGTATATATGTATACCATCATGGTCTTTCAAATTCCTATTTTTTCCCCTAAAGAACTCTGCGACCTTATATGTTTTATTCTAAAGGAAATACTTCTATGGCGTCACCCTCAGAAGGGGTCTTTTTCAATTCCGCGCCGCCGGTCCCATTACCGACTCTGAAAGACTGCATTATGGGACGGTACCAGCCATGCATGCACTTACGAAAATAATTCGAAATATTTGTCAAGTAAATATTCCATCACAACGTGGGCTGATTTGTTCCTTTAATTTCTTATTCAAAGTGAAATGCTTCTGTTTTGCACGCTATATTTTTTTCAGGGTGAAACCAAACATTAAAATATCCCGAAGCTGTACTTGGTGTGTACGAAATGCCAGAAATTTCGGAAGGCCGTGTATCTGAATAAATGTCAATCTTTTCTTTTCTTCAATTGTGTTTAGCATTTTGTTGTGGTGCCATGCTGTGCGAAGGGCTCAACTTGATGAGAGGTATCAGGGATGTATCCATTAAGCAGATATATGAACACGTTGATAATGACCGTATAAATTTGGCACCGATTGCGCAACTTTTATCATTTTTTTCCAGCGGCCAGAATGGATCAAGCCAACACTATTTTAGCCCATGTTTTCCATAGTATTGCAGTGTCAGGCTCACCGGGCCGGGACTGGATTTTTGCCACAATAATCAAACATAATATAATACTTCTGAGAGTGACCTCGAGATTTCGTTTATGGTCCAATGTGTTCCTGAACCAGAAGCCATGCACGGACCTTTCAAGTTGAACTTTGTTATTTTCATTATGATGTACAAAGTTCACAGATCTAATTCATCACAAACAAACCCTTGGTTTTCGCAGAGTGTTTTGTGACCTCTGCTGATAATAATATCCTTATCGAACAATGGGAAATCGCTTGGCAATGGATCTGCAAAATCCAACAGCGGAAATCCTTTTGTACTGGACTATTCGAGAACGTTCCAAAGAGTGCAATACGTAGTTGGACAAAAAGAGAGAGCTAGGATGCTATCGCACACATGCAACTAGCATAGAATCCCTACGCATTCGCAATGCATGATTGTGTCTCATAAGGTGTTGTTTGTTATCATTGTTCGATGGTAAAAAATGAATGTACAAAAAAGGAAATTTCCTGAGGTCATGATTTTTGTATCACTTATGTTTTGTCACGTCACTTTACTAGAAAGCGTTTTTTTTTACCATCGAAATTGACTTGAACACCAATGCTGGAGCGCTCGCAGTTTGTTTCGGCCTTTTTCGTAATTTTATAAAAATGAAGCAAGGGCATGGAAGATACTGTTTGGTTGTCATTAATCCTTTAAACGTGGTTTCCACTATACTACGGTTCAATCTTTATTGTAACGAATTATTTTGTAAAAAAAGTGATGAGTCCATGACAAGTTGTACAACGCAATCACTATCGAAATCCAAAACGTCTTGTCGAAAGAGGGCGCTCTCCATGGCGTACGTGCACGAATTTTCAGTGTTTAATTTTTTTCACGCATCACCACAAAGACACCAGTACTGAGTAGCATTTTTTTGACATTTTAAAACGCCTGTTGGCCCTATAAACAATGGACACCGCCAACCTAATCAGACAGAACTTCCCCCGTGATTGTGAATCGGGTCTCAATCGACAAATAAACCTGCAACTTCACGGCTCGTATGTTTATTTGGCAATGGTAAGATTTCGGATACGCGGATCCCGATCCAAGTTCCAATGATGTTTATCAATATCAATATCATAATTGTTTTGTCTTTTGAACTTCAGTCTTCAGAACCAGAGTCTGCTGATGTTCAAACTCAGACAAACACCTTTTGTGTCATTGTTTATGTTAGTGTGTTTACTAAGTCTTTTAGACATTTTATTTCTACAAATTTAGATTTAGAGACATCAAAATTCAAATGTCAACAAGTTAAATAGGCCCTAGTACCTATTATGAAATTGTTATGGAAAGAATGTTGCAACCTGACGCCACTTCAGCTGCGAGTCAAGAAAATTGTCAATGATGTATTTCCTAACACAATTCGGGCGATTCACAATGCAGTGCGCCACCAAGAGTTTGCCACGAAGAGTTCATTTTTCCCAGTGCATTGTGGGAGATGGTCAACAAATTCACAGCGCGAGACATTTGAAATTGTTCGTTTTTCCAGTCAGTAGTTTCGTAAAGGTATGCTACGAGTATCTGTTTGCCCTTTTGTTTTCTTTTTATCAATGTGGTGTTTTTGTGAGGCGGCAGACCGCTATGCCCCAATCTATAACAAATTAGTTCAAGTTGTCTACCGACACTCATTCAAATCAGCCTTGTTTTGTCGACGGTAAACTAGAAAAATGGACTCTCCATGGCAAACCCTTGGTGGCGCACTGCATTTTGAATCGCCCGAATTGCAAATGTTTCTCAGTCTCAGATTCATGTCTAATGATTGACCTTCACTTCAGTGAAATGATATGAAGAAAAAAGTGGCGTCAGGTTGTATTAGGCCTATTCTTTCCGAAAAGCGCACTTCTTCGGGACTGGACCCTTTCCTTGACCACTGTTGACAATGAAAATTCACTTGAATGTTATTGCACTCACCAAAATGGTTGGCAATGTTGTAAAAGCACCTGAGTTGTCCAGGAAAAGGAGGCAAGACTTTGTGGAGTAATTGCAGAATACCCCGCCACTCGGAAATACACCCCTAAAATCTCTGGCTACACGGTTAGAATCACTGGAAAAGAATTACTGAAAAAAGCCCAAACCAACTACCCTGTTGCTGGCTACGCGGCTACGAAGTGGGAGTCCCCTTGACAATGCTTGAGAACGTAGTAACACAAAAGGAATGGGAGTTTAAACCAACTTAGTTGCCGGCTACGCGGATACAGAGTGGGAGTGCAGTGGAGCATGACGTGTGTAGGCCTAGTACATACAAGTAGCGCTGAGAAGGTTTATTGAGGGCAATCAACCGTGACTCCGTAGCCGGCTACCAGATGCATAGATTAAGTGGCGGGGTATTCTACAATTGTGCCAAATTTGTCTTTCAAATGACACACCATACAGTCACGTGTCAGCTCACACGCAATGCACATTGAATTCACTGTGTTGATTCACCCATGTCAACAAGGAAAAAATGGGTAAGAAAATAATTCTTTTTGCCAATATGGAGGATGTGATTTTTAAACGTTTAAACGTTTAAACAAAAAAAACATTCTAATAGGTGTTCACAAATTTTCTAAATTGTAACAAAATCTAAATTATAGAAAGGGACCTACGTCGACGCGATCTCCTTCAGAGCTAAATATCCTTAGTCGATATACTGGTTAAAATCTTCAGCTTAAAGGAAGGTTGCATGAGGTTGGTTATTTCACCACAAGTAAAATAACATGAAATTTTGCATCGGTATTTCCTTCTCCTTGTTGCCGACAGGTGTATCACTTTGACAGATCTGATGTGGCACTCGAAGGATTCCGTAAATTCTCCAAGAAGTTGTCGGACCGCAAGCGTGAGGTTGCGGCTAACCTGATGGCCTACCAGAACAAGAGGGGAGGCCAAGTCTGTCTGCAAGACATCAAGGTACATCCTCAATACCTCAATTCATTACCCTCACACCCCCCCCCCCACCCCCAGCCCACCATGCCCCCCCTCCCAACAAGGCCCCCAAGCACCCCCCAACACGGCCCCTGCCAAGACCCCAGACCCCGCTCCCCCAGGCCCCCCAAGCCCCCCCTCCCCACAAGGCCCGCAAGCCCACCCCCCAACAAGGCCCCTGACAAGCCCCCCCAGACCCCCCTCCCCCAGGCCCCCATGCCCCCCCCCTTCCCACAAGGCCTGCAAGCCCCCAGCCCCCCCATCCCACCCCCCCCCCAAAAAAAAACCCCACAACAAACAAACAAACAACAAAAACAAGGCCCCCCTCCCCCCATTGATGCTTTGACCAATCACTGCCGGGATTTTTGTCCGAAATGCATGCACAAATACCCAACATGCTTTCTCGAGTTCAGAGAATTACTTGCATAGGCCCTATGTGTTGTTGGCCAACGGACGTGCAGTGGGCAGGGATTCAGCAGATACCAATAGATAAATGTGTACACATCTGCTTAGCTTATTGTAAGTACTTGTTATCGATCCAAAATGGCAGTGCAGCCTCCAATGGAAACCATGCATCTGCAGCTTTGAAACACAGATGAAAGGCATACTATTCAATGTATCCAACCTAGTCTCATGAATTTGTTAATCATTCTTTTCTGTAGGCTCCAACTCAAGACTATTCCACTAGTCAGAAGGCCATTGAGTCAGCCCTGCAGATGGAGAAGGACGTTAACCAGGCCTTGCTGGATCTGTTCAATCTTGCTACTAAGAACGGTGATGAACAGGTTTGTATGCAGATGTCTCATTGTTTGTCAGTGTGTCGTGTGATACTACGTTAAAGGTGCACTTTCATCAAAAATGCACGAATGAACAAAATTAGCTGCCGCGTCAGATGTAAACCAACACCTTTTTTGAAGGTTTTCTCTTCTCGTTTTGCCATAGTTTGCACTCTTCATTGAGGACTACCTACACGAGCAGACCGATTGCATCAAGGATCTAGGAGACCATCTGGCCAACATCCTCCGAACCGGACCCAACCTGGGCGAATTCCTCTTTGACAAGGAGTCCCTCCATTGTTGAGACATCCACTCCGGTCAGTTTGTGACTCCGTTTCTGTTCTGGCATTCTGTTGTTTTTTTTTGTATTGTTTTGGAGCACAAATCTTCAAGTGCAGTAGATTTGTGAAACGCACAATATTTTACCGTCTTTTCTGTAGTTTTATTTAATTAACCCTGTTTGGCAGTTCAGAAATTTATCATCCGGGCAATTCCACGGTTACTCACGTTACATGTTTGATGTACTTTTGAGTTTCCTTGGGCTGTAATTACCTTACTGAAAAGGTTTAATAACTGTTATCCCCATGGTAGATAGAGTAGACCTAGACCTACCTAAGCACCAAAGATGACATCCAGAAAAATGTGTTATGTATGATAAACAAGACGCACAAAATTGGTTACTCATGTTACGAAAATGTAGCGTGAGTAACCGTGGAATTGCCCCAAAGTATCTTCAGTGAGCCCCTTTTGGTCCGAGTGTTTCCCATGCCCTACATGTGTAGAGGTTGTCGTTAGAAAACATCTCCCTATGTAATGCAATCTCCATATTGATATGGGTCATTCCATAAATTTGGGGTTCACTTTTTCCCTGTCCCTGTTACATCTGACATCTTTATGCGCGCGTGCCATAAATCCCTGACAGCTGCAGGCGCGCGGCCATGAATCCCTGACAGCTGCAGGCGCACGCGCCATCAATCCCTGACAGCTGCAGGCGCACGCGCCATGAATCCCTGACAGCTGCAGGTGTGCACGCCATGAATCCCTGACAGCTGCAGGCGCGCGGCCATGAATCCCTGACAGCTGCAGGCACACGCGCCATCAATCCCTGACAGCTGCAGGCGCACGCGCCATGAATCCCTGACAGCTGCAGGTGTGCGCGCCATGAATCCCTGACAGCTGCAGGCGCACGCGCCATGAATCCCTGACAGCTGCAGGCGCACGCGCCATGAATCCCTGACAGCTGCAGGCACACGCGGCCATGAATCCCTGACAGCTGCAGGCGCACGCGCCATGAATCCCTGACAGCTGCAGGCACACGCGCCATGAATCCCTGACAGCTGCAGGCGCACGCACCATGAATCCCTGACAGCTGCAGGCGCGCTACATGAATTTGACTGCAGTCCCACGCACGCGCGCATGTTACCAGAAATTTGGGAAGTCGTTTATCCTTGTGGTGAGGATCCGGGATTCAGACAAGGCAGTTGATATGCAAAGAATGCACAAGGCTGAAACTAATGAAATAACAATCACATTAAAGCTATAGTCCATCATTTGCAGCTATCCAAAAAGTAACTGGCGTAATTATTGTTGAAAAACATACTTGGTTGAAAGATAGTAAGGGGACTAAACTCCCTGTGAAATTATTCTTTCTGGCAAGCCGTCACTTTGAAGAAATCAACAAAAGAAAGCCTTTCCAACGGTGCTTCTTAAGATTTTGAGGGCATGCAAATCGTGATTTGGCCGGCGCAGGCAATTTCGGACCAATTTACTGGGCTGCACTCCTATAGGACCGGTATGTTTGCTGCCACCAACGTCTCAAAACTCCCTCATTGGCACTTACTGAACTCAGGTTTTTAGCTACTAGATGACTAGTAAGCCTAGAAAATGTCATATTCTAATTTATTTGCCTGGAATAAATAACCATTTTATTGTAGAATTTGGATTAATCAATTTATGGCCAGTAAGTCTATTTTCCCTTAATAGCGTCCATCCATATGTTGTGCTTAGCCCATTCCTACCTCTTTAAGTTTAAGAAGCATGTGTGTTTGTTTTGATTGGTGTGGGTTTGTTTGTTGGTGTCTTATTATAATTGTTTAAAGTGGTATGAAGAGAATTAGCAAAAACAATCGAAGGCAAGATACAGTGCTTTGAATTGAACTTGCAGGGACTCAGGGAGTTCTGTATTTGACTGCCACTTTGAAATGACAGAGGGCGCTCCGAGTATGTTTTAACAATTGAACAGTAGCATATTACATATAGTATCTGGAAAGTTAGGTTTTGCAGGGCTTCTACTGCGAGGGTAAGAGCCACTGTTTATTTTTCACTCAAAATGTCATAATTTTTGTTGACTCTTTTATGAGTTTATTAGCTTTATTTGCACTGAATTTAGGTACTCCACATGTAATTAAAGAGTTCTTACAACATGTATTCCATTAATGTTATTAACAATTGCTACTTTTATGTTTATTGATGTGAGATTTTCTGGACAGTGTTATTATTATGGTTGGCTGTGAAGGTCATTTGTGCAGTACTGCGAATGCTCTACATGATTTGACTCTCAGTTTAACTTTACAGAATGCAAACCATTTTATGCTGTATACATGGTGCTTTTTTCAAAGGAAATTTTAATTTGTATTCCAAGTATTTTAAATAATTACCCACTACAGCTCTTTTTTTATCTCACCTACATGTACAGTTCATTATTTCTGATGTTGCACAATCAAATTTGTACATCACCACATCAGAAATTTTCCTCCAAAAGAATCATGTTCAAATTGTCAAAGCGACCATGTTTTTGAAATTACAATGAGTTCCCTTCATCAGCATGCATTTTTTTTTGCAAGGTTTTGGCCGTTGTCGAAATAAGATACAAAGAATCACTGTTCGCAGATTCATTAAATTGAATTTTTTTTGACCGTGTATGAGTTGCTACATAATATATAGCACTAACAGTCTCTAAAATTTCCAAAATTCTAAAGTCGCCACCTTGAACCAAAACTCAGTGAAATAATGACATTTAAAGGACACCTTAGACATTTTAGCGGGTGAATACTGTGATATGTTATGAAAGGAAAGTTAAATATACACTAATGACATTTAGGTAGGAAAGTTTAAAAGTTACAAAAAACTAAAGTGTGAAAAACTAAAACCAAACAAGTGTTGTTATTATTGTGAATAATCGCCACCTTGAACTAAAACTCGGTGAAAGAGTGTCTTTTGAAGGACACCTTAGAAATGTTAGTGGGTTAATGATGTGATGTCTCATGAAAGGAAAGTTAAATGTACACTAATAATTTTAAAAGGTTAGTAAACTAAAGAGTGAAAACTAAAACAAAACAATTATTCATTATTATTGTGAAGTTATTACAAGAACCAAAGTAGTCCATTATTGTGGATTGGATCATGATAATGTTGTGTAGAATCCTTCCTGCTGAGGATGTGCTGAAGCGTCAATGCTGAAATAAAACTAGAGAAAGGCTGAAAGGAAACAACACTTTCCGTTTAGCAGTGTATTCGTCAGTTGCCAGGGTTTTGCTGGTTCCTGGGGTAGGCTGTAGTCCTCTTTTTACCTGATTGACTGACTGACTGACTGTCCGTCACTTGTGAATTAGAGTGGTTAAAGTCCACCTTGGCCCAAACGTTTAATATAGTATTACCCTATAAAAGGCAATATACAACATTTGTAATCATCAAAAAACAAAACTACCAAATTATTATGAAATACTTACTGCAAGTGAATGAAAGTCTCAAGCAGCCTGTGCACTTTTTATCAGTTTCCAACGCTGGTCAGCCGACCATCGTTTTTGGAAGAAAAAGAAATTAACTTTTTGAGAGATTTTACATTAAATTTTGGACGGAAACTCCCCTTTAATAGCACATCTGTCTAGATGTCGATTCGGAATACGTTCTAAAGCCTTATGGTCTATTTCTAGCAACTTTCGAGCATTTCATTTGTTGGGCCAAAATTGAAAAAAAAGCAAGGGGTTAACCTTACATTTTTAGTCAAAAATGGCCAAAAGTTTACTTTACTCAAAACAAGGCAAAAATTAATCAGGATGCAAGAGGAACATCAATCAATACTCTAACATGCACAATTTGGAAGATTTGGGCAAAAATCATTCAATTGTTGAGGAAAAAAAAGGTTTTTTTTAATAACACATCTATCCAGGTATCGATTCCGAATGCGTTCTAAAGCCCCCAATGTCTTTTTCTAGCAACTTTCTAGCATTTTTATTTTTTGGCCAAAATTGAAAAAAAGCAAGGGGTTAACCTTACATTTTTAGTCAAAAATGGCCAAAAATTGACTTTTCTCAAAACAAGGCAGAAATTCATCAGGATGCAAGAGAAACATCAATCAATACTCTAACATGCACAATTAGAAGATTTGGGCAAACATTTTCCATTTTTTGGAGAAAAAGAAATTATTTTTTTGAGCGATTTTACCTGAAATTTTGGACGGAATTTCCCCTTTAATAGCACATCTATCGAGATATCGATTCCGAATGCGTTCTAAAGCCCCTAATGTCTTTTTCTAGCAACTTTCTAGCATTTTTATTTTTGGCCAAAATTGAGAAAAAAAGCAAGGGGTTAACCTTACATTTTTAGTCAAAAATGGCCAAAAATTGATTTTTTTCAAAACAAGGCAGAAATTCATCAGGATGCAAGAGAAACATCAATCAATACTCTAACATGCACAATTTTGAAGATTTGGGCAAAAATCATCCATTTTTGGAGAAAAGAAGTTACTTTTTTGAGCGATTTCACCTGAAATTTTGGACGGAATTTCCCCTTTAATAGCACATCTATCCAGATATCGATTCCGAATGCGTTCTAAAGCCCCCAATGTTTTTTTATCTAGCAACTTTCTAGCATTTGTATTTTTTGGCCAAAATTGAAAAAAGCAAGGGGTTAACCTTACATTTTTAGTCAAAAATGGCCAAAAATTGACTATTCTCAAAACAAGGCAGAAATTCATCAGGATGCAAGAGAAACATCAATCAATACATGCACAATTAGAAGATTTGGGCAAACATTTTCCATTTTTTTTGGAGAAAAAGAAATTATTTTTTTAAGCGATTTTTCCTGAAATTTTGGACGGAATTTCCCCTTTAATAACACATTTATCCAGATATCGATTCCGAATGCGTTCTAAAGCCCCTAATGTCTTTTTGTAGCAACTTTCCAGCATTTTTATTTTTTGGCCACAATTGAGAAAAAAAGCAAGGGGTTAACCTTACATTTTTAGTCAAAATGGCCAAAAATTGACTTTTCTCAAAACAAGGCAGAAATTCATCAGGATGCAAGAGAAACATCAATCTATACTTTAACATGCACAATTAGAAGATTTGGGCAAACATTTTCCATTTTTTGGAGAAAAAGAAATTATTTTTTTGAGCGATTTTACCTGAAATTTTGGACGGAATTTCCCCTTTAATAGCACATCTATCGAGATATCGATTCCGAATGCGTTCTAAAGCCCCTAATGTCTTTTTCTAGCAACTTTCTAGCATTTTTATTTTTTGGCCAAAATTGAGAAAAAAAGCAAGGGGTTAACCTT